ATAATTTACATAAATAAATGCACTATATTATTAAAAAAAATTAATATATTCATTACGTCCTATCACTCCACACTCAAGTCCAATCATGAATATAGGCTGACCCTATAGATTGCCCCATAGGAGATTTACCAATGTTGCCACACTTTGCATTGTCACTTTGTTATCAGGAAAATTCTCCTGTCTATTTGCTGTTTCAGTTCCCTGTGTAGCCTCGGTCATGTCATGATTTGAGGCAGTGGATTCTCTATTGCTGCTACTATCCGGAAACACTTTACAAAGGGCGGGTTACAAAAACTGCATCTTGCTAAGAACTATAGTTATACTAGCTGGCCAGGCAGAACGTTGTACTGCCCTCAGCGGTGAACCTCTGTACTATAAAAATACTTAAATTTGCAATAAAAAATACTGAGTGTCACTTATCGGGATAAAAACTATCCTATCTCTCAAGTTGGACTAAACTGCGCACAGTGTGCACAAATATCATTGAAATCATTTCAGTGACAAACAATGTGACACGTAATTTTTATATATAAAGATAGGTATACAATGTTATTGTGCAACGCGTTGCAGAGTATATCTCGGCAATGTTGCTTCAAATGTATCGCCGCAATTGCATGGTTCATAAACGTGAAGCAACAATGAAGCTATAAGCTTAGCAACATTGCATTGCATGCCGAAACTAGCCTGTTTACAAACGATTTTATATTAAAATATAAAACCGTTTGATTTCCTGCATGTTCTTCTTAGGACTGAGGTGTTTTCTTAACCTTTGGTAAATAAAATACTGACGTGCAAAAGTATTTTAATTTATTTTATATTGTACTATTTTTGAGGCCTCTCTTATGTCTACACAGATTCCTTTACAAAACATAAGTTCCAAGCAACGTCTTACATATCTGATAAGATCCTAACAAAAACTTTGTCGAAGCATACAGATTCTATTATTTTTTCATGATACAAACTAACAAAAAACGATAAAAATATGTTGCGCCTGATCAGAAAAAATAATCACATAAATTCTTTTTAGAATTAGGTATTGAAATTTCCTATGTGGGTTCCAGGAGATATTTCCCCTACAAATTGGACTGTTAGTTCGCTTGATTCTTTAAAATTCTATAAAATAACTAAACATACTGGATTAATTTCACGATGTGTAATAAAAAATAATCACACTTGTCATTAAACCTATAATTTTCTTTGTAGGTTTACCGCGTACCAAAATCGCTAAGCTCAAAGGTATGACCGAACCTGAAACGAAATACGCAAACAAGAAGAGCGCGTGCAAAAAAACTTGTAGAAGACAGAAATCATTAGACGCTAAGAGAAATTCTAAAATGGAATCTGATGAACCCCGAACAAAACACGGCGAAGAATTAGAAAAACATCGTACGAACGTGAGAGAGATATTGTTATGGTCTAATGCTACTCCCATCAGGTGTAGAGGTGGCATTGGTTACGCTTGCTGCTTCTGTACAGATCAATATCCAAACCCAAATGATTTAAAAAGACATTCTTTAGAGGAACACGATAGTGTTGTTATATCCACGTTCATGAAAGGGAGAGATATGCACGGATACTTCGTAAAGTTAGACATAACAGCACTCACTTGCAAAATTTGTAATTCATCCATCGACACACTGGAACAGTTGATGGAACATCTAAAGAACGTGCATAATAAAAATGTTGATCTGAGTATAAAGAATCACATGATACCGTTCAAGTTTGAGACGGAGAATCTTCGTTGCTGCATTTGCCTGAACGTTTTCCATAAATTCCATGCACTGCAGGTCCACATGAACAACCATTGCAGAAATTACATCTGCGATATCTGCGACGCGGGGTTTGTTAATAGACACATGCTGCGATGCCACAGTGACGGGCACAAGGTCGGAACTTTCGCTTGCGAACAGTGCTCCAAAGTGTTTAAAACAATTCGCATGAAGAAACTGCACGAACGGATCGTTCATAATTCAAATAGGCCGCACAAATGTGGCTACTGTAACGAACGATTCAAAGAGAACTGGAATAAGAATGAACACCTGGCCAGAGTGCACGGGGTACGCGACCCAGGAGTGAAATGCCAAGCGTGCGATAAAACATTTGACACTCAGCAGAGATGGTTGCTTCACATGAAAAGGGACCACTTAATGCAAAGGCAACACCAGTGCAATCGATGTGAGAAAGCGTTTTACGCGAAACGTGAACTGACGGATCATATGGTGAAGCACACGGGCTTGAGAGAGTTTAGCTGCGAAGTCTGTGCCAAAACGTATGGACGACTAAAAACATTGAAGGAACACATACGAAGGTTGCATCCAGACGACGAGAGATTCAAGTGCCCCCATTGTGGTTGGACGTTCGTGCAGATTGCTAAGTTGAAAAAGCATGTCTTGGATAAACACGGAGAGAATTTGTTAAAGAATTCACTTTTAAAGTAACAGGAATTATTTCTAAGCATAAATATGTAAATATAGTTTTTGGTTATAAAAGGTCTTAGTGTTTAACTAAATATCCTGTTATAATTATAGACAATTCCTAGAGCAGAACGTATACAATAAACAGCGGCCCACGTTCTGCTGGCCGGTACGGAGGTTGCTCATACTGGTCTAAATACTAGTATCTGGACGCGTTTCGGTCGCTCGTCGAATTTTCTCGATCATTGAATGGTTTGAATAAATATAAAGTTTTTGTCTAAGCAAACTATGCGCTTATATATAATTCCTCTGTTCGTATGTGCTTGGATATTTTAAATTCACAATGAAACCCGGCAGGTGGTGTTTTAGTCGAGATCCAGAAATCACCCGTGCAAAAGTGGGACAGATCGGTGTATAAAACAAAATCTATAGTCCTTCGATAATGTAACATAACTAAGTGATAATTTTGTGTGAAGCGATTGACATTTCTGTTAGATTTAGTTTGTGGTAAGAGTTTACTTACAATCTTATTTTTTGTTATTGAACTTTATTCTTTTTCATAAGCCTGTAAAAGTCAACTGCCGGCCCTCTCCCGTTGTAGGAAAGAATTAGACTTTCACAGGCAAATCAGTGTAATCAAGAAACAAAGAAACTTTATCGATTAAAACAAACACCAACATACGTGTCACAAAATAAATTATAGACTAATAATTTTATAACTACAGAACTTAAAAAAAACTAAATCTATATCTATAGATACAAATAAATAAAATTGAAGTGTCTATTTGTAATGTCAAAATAAGAGCTACTATATGCGTATGAAAGTATATACGGTACTTATAACAAAAACACAAATTTTTAAAATTTTTGTCGGTCTGTCTTTCTGTGTATGTTTGTTCCGGCTAATCTCCGAAACGGCTGGACCGATTTTGACGGGACTTTCACTGACAGATAGCTGATATTAAAAGGTGTAACTTAGGCTATTTATATTTTTAAAAAAGAATAAGGGTTCCGCGCAACATAATTAAAACCCAAAATTACACGCGGGCGAAGTCGCGAGGTTATTACATAATATTCTAAAGGTTATAAAAAATATAATGATTACATTATATTTTTCTAAAATATAAGTAGCTTAAGTTACTCCTTATAACATGAGGTATCTGCCAGTGAAAGGCCCGTCAAAATCGGTCCAGCCGTTTCGGAGATTAGCCGAAACATACAGACTGAAACACGGACAGACAAAAATTTTAATAGTGTTTTTGTTATATATGTTGTTGTGTTTTTGTAAAAAGCTGTTGTTTTGACATTACAAACAGAAACTTTAGTTTTATTTATTTGTATAATATATAAATATAAAAAATTAGGTTATCTTACTCTTGTGGTCCTCCTAATCAGGACATTTGCATAAAGTTATTAAATTATTGTATTGTCATCGACTCTTGATTAAAACTGCAAATATTCAAGTCAATCGGTCGTCTAAAAGTTGGTGAAAATTACATCAACAGATATAGATACATAAATAGATAGATAAATAGATACACGTGAAGTGTTATAAAACTTAAAAATTTAATATTGAGCATAATTTTTATCGAATTGTCTTTCAATGTTTGCCTGTTAAATAAACCTTTAAAAACTATAATAAATTATTTTATTGAAATTATAATATATACCGCAATAGCTAATCGGCAAGCTAAAAGTGACAATTACTTGAAATCTTCTCAAGTATTAAGAGGAAGGACGCATGTCCAGCCGTGGGCTAGACTCCACGTTCTGATAGTGATAATCATACGTATTTTAACCATAAAGTAAGAAATCTATCGCACATTTTATGCTATAATAACTATATTTTTCCTTTTACGTATATGCAGAAATGCAACAAGTGGGATGCGGGAAGTAAAGACTGTGTAAGAACCTCTGAAGGAGGCGGAGTTATAGCCGAAATAGAATTTTTAATTTTTTAGGTTTTGGTCATTTTGATCCCCTAGGAGCGTAACGAGAACTTTTTACCCCTATTCAACCATGACCCCCATGACATCCTCTACATGATAGGCTATTCAAACTGACTATGCAAAATTTCGAGACATCCCCCAATTTTTTGGTTTTTGACCATTTTGATCCCCTAGGAGTGTAACGAGAACTTTTTACCCCTATTCAACCATGACCTCCATGACATCCTCTACATGATATGCTATTTAAACTGACTATGCCAAATTTCGAGACATCCCCCAATTTTTTGGTTTTTGACCATTTTGATCCCCTAGGAGTGTAATGAGAACTTTTTACCCCTATTCAACCATGGCCCTATGACATCCTCTGCATGATAGGCTATTCTTCTGACTGGGCCTAATGTTCGAGCCACCCCCCCCCCCCCCCCCACTAATTTCTAAAGTCTTTACTTCCAATTAAACACAGATAAATTTAAGGAAATTTTAAAAACGGTGTTGAGTCGGAAAGCTTCACTACCCTGAGGAAATATCTTCCCACCTACAAAGCCTGCTGTCGGATATTTATAAAGTGCACTAATAAGAATTTCTCTTTGTAGGTGTGGGAAGAGTGATCAAAATAGAAACAAGACTTACAAAACCGCTGGAATTGAAGTTTATATCAAAAAGTAAGACGACAGTAAGAAATAACAGTGACCTCTCTGAGGCGAAGAAGAACCAACACAATTTGAGCATCATCCTGCTGAATTCGAACGCGAATCCGATCCGATGCAAAGACAGCTTTGGATATGGCTGCGCTTTCTGTCCGAAGCAATTCCCACAGCCGACTAATTTAAAGAAACACTTCTTAGAAGAGCACAACAGTGATAGACTCATCAAATATATGTCGAGTAAGCTTTTTGAAAATGTCGTCAAACTTGACATTACGTACTTGTGTTGTGCGCTCTGTGACACGGAATTCATGCAACTCGATGATTTCGTCCACCATTTAAAAAACACACACAACAAAGACCTTTATATTGATATCAAAAGCCAAATCCTCCCCTTCAGGTTCGATACGCCGGAACTGAGATGCGCTATTTGTTCAATCGAATTTGCTTCGTTCAAACTTTTACAGGAGCACATGAATACACACTTTAGAAATTATCCCTGCGAAAAATGTGGAGGAAGCTACGTAACAGAAAGATTACTGCAAGGCCACATTAAGCGGCACGGCAATGGCGAATACAAATGCACCCAATGCGACAAAACATTCACAAGCGAACACAAGAGACGCGAGCACGAGCACAGAACCCACCTTGGATTTAACAAGCGAAACAAATGTCACTTTTGCAACGAGAGGTTCCTTGATTACTGGAAGAAAATCGATCACATGGTGAAAGTACACGGTGCGCCACCAGTTGTACTAAAATGTCAAGCCTGCGAGCGAACTTTCAATAATCAGAGGGCTTTGTCGAGGCATAAGAAGAAGGACCATTTACTGGAAAGGAGGCACAACTGTTCGGAGTGCGAGATGAAATTTTTCAGCAGTAGCTGTTTGCAAAAGCACATGGCAAAGCATACGGGGCTGCGGGAATATATGTGCGACGTGTGCCACAAGTCATATGGCAGGAAGAACACATTGAGAGAGCACATGCGGATACATGCGAATGATCGTCGTTTTAAATGCGAACATTGCGGTCAAGGATTCGTGCAGAAATGTAGCTGGCGCGGCCATATGCGTGCCAAACATGGCGAGAATGTTTAGTTAGAAGCAATTATTGTTCAATCACGTAATAAAATTATACTCCATTATTTTTATTAAAGTATTTGTTAGTTTATAGATAAATATAACACGTTTTCATATTATAACCTACTACCATGTGTTTGAATTCATTGATATGGTCAAAGTCACTTTTCGTACATTCCGTTCATTTAAACCAAGCGAATCCTTAACTTGTATTCGTGTTATGCCTCAAGAATGAAAACCACTAATTAATAATAATTAGCATTCAAATGTTATTTAATACACAAAAATGATCAGGCCTCCAATGAAGATACTCCATGAAAACCACCGACATCAGTAGTTGCTGATAATACAATTATTATCATCATTACATCTCTTTACAAGTCCACTGCTGAACGTAAGCTTGCCTAGGAATGCCACAACGCACGGTCATAAGCCATCTGCATCCATCGACTTCCTGCATGTCTTACCAGGTCGTCACTCCATCTATATGGACGGTATAATGGTTTAGCTAAATAACTGTGTAATAAGCTTATAAAACAGTGACGTCACAGTCACATGAATCATAAAACAACCTTATTAGTCATAGACTTTAGACATAGAGTCTGCCTTAATGAAGAAGTTCTACAGAAAATATGCAAACTATTTAAAATATGGAATTTGTCAGCAAATGGCCGATTTCGCTGGCACTGGCGCCGCGGTTAAAGGACTTCTCTTGTGATAAATACTTTCTATAAGTCCTAGACCATCAATAACCTACTTTTTACAATAAGACAGCACATGCTTTGCCTCTTAACGTCTTGCAGAGTTTTAAATTGGTAACAAAAAAGATTCAACCCACAAAAATTTTGAGATTCGATTCGAGATATGGCTTCGAGAACAAAAGAGCTCTCACCCGTCACATATAAAATAAAACCGACCAAGTGCGAGTCGGACTCGCGCACCGAGGGTTCCGAAAAATCCGTAGGTATATAAGTTTAAAATTATTAAAAATATTTTTATTATATGATGCAACTAAAAACTTTTACTTTTCGCAAATTTTCCTTTATCTGTACTATAAAACGTTGCTTCGTACCAAATTTCAAGATTCTGAGTTCACGGAAAGTACCCTGTAGGTTTTGATTCCTTTGCGAATGTCGAAAATTTGCGCCATAAACGGCTGTATCTTTTGATTGAGTTGGCTTAAAAGTTTAATTTTTTCACAGCTCCAAGGGACAGAGTAGACTTGAGTACCTATTTGATATGAATTTCAGCTTGATACCTCCACGTGTTCCTGAGAAAAAGAGTCTTGACAGACAGACTGACAGAAGGACAACTGTGATCCTATAAGGGTTCCGTTTTTTTCCTTTTGCGGTACGGAACCCTAAAAACAATAGAAGGTAGAGAAGAATCGTGTGAACTTGTGCGATATGCGTTTTTACCTCAAGTATCCTTTAAAGGATCACAATTTATCATGCAATTTCTATGTCACGTTTGCGCTACTAAGAAATCTGTCACACGAGATAATATAGGTACGACTTAGAGCAACACGTGCCACCTTCGGACCGGAGGGTAGTAGGCATAGCGTTTTTCCTCGATACAGAACTATGTCATTTTTGCGAGGGGAATACCGCGCACACGAAAACATACATCTGTTAGCATGTCACTACAAAACTCACACAACAATTTTCTCACACACATAGATATATTATTACAGTATCGCTCGGTGACAGCGACAACTCGGATCAATCGCTCGACCGAGCTGCATATTGTATGAGGGCGAGCGGCCTGTATTGATTAACAAATCCGATTATTAATTAACACGACAGTTATCTTTGTAATTTTTGTCTTTAAAAAGAAGTAAATAATATTCATAATAATAAATAGCAATAATGTGATTAAAAATTACTTATATATATGAACGGTAACGCCATCTTTTTATAAATTTGACTTGGCAGATTTCTTTTCGCAGCAAACAACTGAACGATTCGGCATTTTTCTAGGACGTCGATTCACCTGCGGAAATAGATTTAGTTTAGTGAGCAGTGCGGCTGCAACTAGTTACATAGCAGTACACATAGGACCGCGTGAACTTATACTGACAGAGGGGAACGCCTGCGTATAGCTACTGCCCTCCGATACGCCGGTGGCCGGTGCTTCTCTATGCATGCTGACGACCGGGGCTACGCTTGTGACGTCTGCGGGCAGCCTTATGTTTAACGCAGTGTGTTTATAAATCAACTTATTTCTAAGACATGGAAAATAATATTTGATACACCTTTATGTATATATATGAACTGTAGAAGAATATGTAACACTTACTTTTAAAAAAGCAGACGTGAAATGTTTCCGTGTTATTTCTTTTGTTTCGAATATTGGATCTGAATTTTTTTCTCAGATAATTATCGTCACCATCATCATCATTACAGTCTATCAAAATTCCACTGCTAAACTTATGCCTTCCACATAAATCGCTTCATAGGAGATATTTGTCAGTTTTTTTTTTATTAATACTATCTATGATATTTAAATTACTAATATTCCCTTTAACCATTCCTTGTAAGCTTAAAATTATTACCGTGTAGTGTCAGTGTAAGAATATCCACTACCCCATATCATCCCATGGGTGTCGTAGGAGGCGACAGAGGGAAACAAATCTGGAGATGGGCAGTGTTTACTAGGTAAACTTTTTTCTTGGGAATGTTACAATCATTGGCACTTTAGCATAGTGAATGGCACTATAAATTAAGTATGATAATTGGCACCATTGGAAGTCTTAAAAAGTTATATTGTTGTTATAAGAATTATTTTGAACAAATATTCTTCAATATTTTCCTTACATCTTACTTTGAAAGTGGTTTCGTTCTACCTTTGTACTTACAGTAAATCTCATCACGTATTTTGGACAATTTCAAAATAATTTTCGTGCCTAACTGTGTGGAACTGTTTAAAAAGCAAAAATAAATAATTTCGCGAGACCCACTTTAGGAATCGCTGTTCTAACTTATCACTAATATATGCTGTCGTGGGGGCAACACTAACCAAATGAGATGGGCAGCAGCGTCTTCCTAATAACGTCTAAAACTTTAAAAAAATACTGCGATTTCCGATCTGCTTGCCAAGTGTGGCAACTACGGCAAATATCCCTCCAAAATAGGCAATTTATGGGGGAGGTCTATGTTCAACAGAGAACTTTAATAGGCTGTTAACGGTAATGGTAATGCTTGTGTTATGAACGGTTCATGGCAGTGGTCGGATGACGCATTCGAACCCTCGACCTTTTGAGTTTGCAGCCCTGCCATTAGGCCAATGTCGCTTCTTGCTTCTTATAGTTACGACGCCTGGTAGACAACCACAGTTTTTATTATTATGTGTGTAATTATTAGGAAGATGCTGCTGCACATCACCTGCTTCAGGTTTTATCTATTTTATAATATAGGATAAGGGTGACAAACGAGCACACAGTCAACCTAATGGGTAAGTGGTTGCTGTGGCCCATAGACATCTACGTCTATCCTCGACTATGAATACAAAATACAGATGCGTTGTCACCCGTGAGGACTAAGATGGAATACCTCGTCTCCAGTAGAAAAGGGTCTCCGGTTCTCTAGCTGCTATTTTACGCTGGTATTCTGTGAGAGCGTGGTCCTTCCGCGGTCGAGCCGACCCATTCGTGCTACAACTATACCTATATATAGCTGCAGCATGGCTTTACCACGTAAGAAATCTGTCGTCTCTTACAACACCCACGGCTATGGTTGTCTTGTGTTGCCACTCCACGGCACATGTAAGATCCATGGAAACCGGTAGGAAGCCGGAATGTACTCGGTACAATAACATTGCAACAAAAGTATCGCTATCTATATTGCTGACCTGTTATTCTCAGATTTCCAGTAATATTCAATTTTCTATCGACTTCAAAAAGGAGTCGGTACTCAACTCGACTGTATGTTTATTTTTTATGTGTGTTACCTCATAACTTTTTACCCGTGAACAGATTTCGATAATTCTTTTTTTATTTGAAAAGTGGTGCTTCACATGTGGTCCCATATAATTTTGTTCAAGGTGTGACCAATAGTTTTTGAGTTATTCTTAATAATTTATATTGAAGTCGGTTGTACAACATTTTTTAATTTTTAATTATATAATCGGTTTACGAGCCTTTTTAGATTTTAAGAATCCAATTTTTGTAGTTACCAGTGTTCTTGTTTATATATTTCGCACTAGCGACTCTGGGTTCGCTAGTACGTTCGCCTTGGTAAGATCTTTTGATGTCGCTTTATTTAGATTTGAGATAATCAAAGACCATTCATTTGATAAATTTTTCGTTTTTTGTTTTTCGGATAAAATAGAGCCTAGCTCACTCTCGGCATTGCTCCCTATCTGTTAGTGAAGTTTCATTACTATCAGTTCAGCCTTTGCGAACATTATCCCGGACAGACAGACAGACAAATTTTTCAAAAACGGTTATTCATGTCTTGACGGCATAATAGCAAATAATCCCCTCAGCTCAATATAAGGCAGTTATTTCGATATTACAGACTACACTTTTATTTTATTTATACACTAGCTGATCCCCGTGACGTCGCACGCGTGTAATTGAGGGTTTTAATTATATTGCTCAGAACCCTAATTCTCTTTCTCAAATATAAGTAGCCTAAGTTACTCCTTAGAACATCGGCTATCTGCTAGTGGAAGTACCGTCGAAATCGGTCCAGCCGTTCCAGAGATTAGCTGGAACAAACAGACAGACAGACGGACAAAAATTTAAAAAATTGTGTTTTTGTTATAAGTACCATATATGCATTCATATGCATTGAGTAAAAAGCTGTTATTTTAACATTACAAACAGACACTTCAATTTTATTTATTTGTATAGAATATAGATGAAACGTTTTCACACGAAAAACTAAATAGTTTGCACACTTCGAACCTCGAACGCAAAGCGGAGAAGAGATGCGGCTACACCACAGAGTACTTTTATATATATATAGGAAGGCTACACCTACAGTATACTTTGACAAGGTCACGATAACCGCTCTCATGTAATCCCTTATATTATTGTAATACCGTACTAAAGATCAACACATTAATATTACTAGGCAACCACAAATGAATAAAGCTGATACTTTTATTAACTTTTACAAAACAATACGTATTATTTATACGTATATTATTTTGATGGCATTTAACGTTAATATTCTCATTTTGTGGGTATGTTGAATCTTTGTTGTTAAACCATCACGAGATTTGCAATATATGGCAAGGCAAATACATTTTAAAGGTAAAAAAAGTTACTAATGAAAATAGAATAAGTATATTTGGTAGAAAAAACATTCATACAACAAATCAGATTTCTTTTACAGATGCGGAGAAACAAAACATTGTAACGTACGAAACAAAGAAGATAACCCTCGACAGGAAAACAAACTTTTCCACATTCATAACAATCAGACCGCAGAGAATGACGCGGAAGAAAAAAGCGACGGACGCTACCAAGAAAACCTCAGAGCTGGACTTTCACTTCGAAAACATAAAGTTTATTCTGTTGTACTCCAACGCGACCCCGATACGCTCTCGCATTGGATCCAAGTACGCGTGTGGTTACTGCACCAATCAGTACTCGACACCAGCGGAATTGAAAGATCACACGTTGTACACGCACGTTACAGATAAACCTGAATGTCTACGCATCTCGTCACTGTCGAAATACGTCGTGTACTTGGACGTCACGGACTTAGAGTGCCTGATGTGCGATGCTAGGTTAAAGAAATTGGAGGACTTGATGCACCATTTGAAGAACTATCACGATGAACCGTTCCACATGGATATCAAGAACCATATAATACCTTTTGATTTTGCTACGAGTAAGATGCAGTGTGTCGATTGCTGTAAACAGTTCGATGTGTTCGAGGACCTCCAGGAGCATATGAACTGCCACTACAAGAACTACTCGTGTGAACTTTGCGATGACACGTGGTTCGTGAACAGGAGTCTTATGATGGACCATAAGAAGACAGTTCACTTCCTCTGATCCGTGATTAATTGTGGAATTTTTTTAATAAAATTAAAATTTCTAATGTGTTGTGTTTTATTGCTAACTTGAAATCCAAAAATCAAACTAATTGAGGTAAAAAAACTAAAAACTCATTTACAGCTAGTAACTCATAAATAATTTCGAACATAGTGTAAGGTCGAATCCACAATTAATCATCTAGGATTATTGTCTACGTCGCGTGGTTTGTTGTTTGAAAATAAAGAAAAATAAATTGAAAATCATCTTATTTTCTTTGTCCTAAAACCCTCTGTTTTAATTGTAAAAGTGTGTGATCTTTATCGTTGTCAATCACACGGATATTTACGAAAAATAATGAGAAATAGCTGCACAAGAAAAACAGTAGTCTCTCACTTATTTGATATAATTTTTTTACATATTTTTTTTAAATTTTTTGGATTGGATGCTTGTCCTTTAAGCCTTGTCTTCATTTATCTCAGTATCAAGTGATAATAATTCTTTATAGTAAATATATATAATAAATAAAATTGAATACAGATAACATAACATATCAGCGTCGTCGTAACTCCTAACTAGGAACTAGGAGACCCATTCGAATGAGAACAAGGACAGGGCCTGCGAGTGACTTTGCGAGATATGATAGCAGCTTAATGCTTCTTTGTTTCGTATGGTGAGTGTAGAGAAGTGTAGAGCGCACAGTCCACCTGATGGTGAGTGGGTGCTGTGGCCCATAGACATCTAGATTTATCCTCAATTAAGAATCAAAATGCAGATGCCTTATCACATCTGAGGACTGAGATGGAATGCCTTATTTCCAGTAAAATGGGTCTCCGGTTCTCTACGCTCACTATACGAAACTCTATTTTACGCTGGTATTCTGTGAGAGCGTGGTCCTTCCCGGTCGAGTCGACCTATTCTTGCTGCAACCACAATATAGTTGCAACATGGCTCTACTACAAAACATGCAGGTTTCCCCACGATGTTTTCCTTCATCACCGAGCACGTGGTAAATTAACACTTTAAAATTGCAATTAACAATGTCGTTGGTGCCGGCGGGTATCGAACTGGGCTTGCACACGTACTGTTAAATTTACAGCGAGCGCTGAACCCCTGAGCTACCACGACTCCCAGAAAATAAAACTCTGCATTAATTAGTTCTAAATACCGCAACTAAAGCATACAGTAACACGTTCATAAACGACAAGAGGCTTAATCAAATTCTACAGGACAAATAATAACACTGGATATGTTTCCAGGTCCCCGTTCGCCCGGTATACGTACGAAACCGAGGATAGCTTACATAGAAATATCTGCGGAGCCCCTCACGTCCCAAGAACAGAGAGACGCGGTCTTGAAGAGAGAGCAATCACCAGAAATACAGATCTTGCTGAGAAAGAAGAACGAACTGGACCTCCACCTCGACAACCTAAGGGTGATTCTGACGAACTCGAACGCGACGACAATACGCTGCCGTGGTAGCATCGGCTACGTGTGCTGCTTCTGCGACGAGCAGTACCCCGATCCGGCAGATTTGAAACGGCACACGCTCGACACTCACAACGACGTCTTCGAGTCGAACTTCATGAAGAGTCAAGCGATGCCGACTCTACTTATCAAATTGGACATAACGAATCTGCACTGCACAATCTGCAGCAAAGAGATCTGGGAACTTGAGGACCTATTGGAACACCTTAAAGAAGACCACGGGATCCTTCATCACAGCAATATCAACAGCCATATAGTACCGTTCAGATTCGACAGTCAGACGCTGCGTTGCGTTGTCTGCAAGCACATCTTTAACAACTTCAAGGTGCTGCTCGAGCATATGAACATGCACTACAGAAACTATGTGTGTGACGTCTGCGACGCCGGCTTCGTCAATAAGAGGATCTCGCAGATGCACGGTTATCGGCACAAGACCGGCGTCTACCATTGCTCCTATTGCGGGAAAGAGTTCAACAACAGAGTGAAGCAAAGGGCTCACGAAAGGGCGGTCCACGTGTGTCTCAACAAGAGAAGCAAATGCGGGTATTGCGGAGAGAGGTTCTCTGATTATACCAAAAAGCAAGACCATGAGGTCAAGGAACACGGAGCGAAACCACTTGTCCTAACTTGTTACGCGTGTGAGAAGACTTTTGATAATCAACGCACCCTGTCGCTTCACGTCAAGGCTTTCCATTTGATGGAGCGTTAGAAGGTAGTTGTGTGTGTGAAAGGTAGGTGTGAATTGTTTGTGTGCGCGTGTGTGAATTTTAAGCGTTACTAGACTATGATATCTAAAAGATAAATTAGCACAAATAATGTCTACAGAATATATGTATATATTACCCATGGTCACGAAGGGGACTGAGGTGTTTGACGTCCAAACGTCACTACCTTCAATTTCAAATTATTAAATTTTGGTACGATCTACGCATACTTAAATTATAGACCAAAACTTTTAAAAAAATTAATGACTTTAAACTGAAGGTAGCCGTGGTTTATATGTGACGTTTGGACGTCAAACACGTCAGTCCCTCCGTGACCATGGGTGCTGTAAAGTACTCGAAACGTCGCGAATTTAAAATTAATACACGCAAAGTTATATACGCGATATAATACATGTGTAGTGTTCGCATAAATATAAGAAATCAATATACATTAGTAACCACACCTTTAATCAATTACAAGTGATATTCTTCTTTAATATTCTAGTTAGCAACATAAGCAACCCAGTTATTCATCATTCATCATTACAGCCCTTCACAAGTCCACTGCTGAACATAGGCCTCCCCCAAAGAATGCCACAAAGCACGGTCCTGAGCCACCTGCATCCATCGACTTCCTGCATATCTTACCAGGTCGTCACTCCATCTAGTGGGGGGACGCCCTACACTTCGCCTGCCGGTACGAGGCTGCCACTCGAGAACCTTTCTTCCCCATCGGTTGTCGGTTCTTCGAGCTATATGGCCGGTCCATTGCCACTTCAGCTTACTAATCCGTTGGGCTATGTCGGTCACTCTAGTTCTACTGCGGATATCCTCATTTCTAAGTTTATCACGCAGAGAAACTCCGAGCATAGCCCTCTCCATAGCTCGCTGAGCGACCTTGAGCTTCCTCATCCGGCCAGCAGTGAAGGACCACGTCTCAGTTCCGTATGTCATCACTGGCAACACGCACTGGGTGTACAGTCTCGTTTTCAAGTTTTGAGGTATACCTGACGAGAAGATGTGCCGTAATTTCCCGAACGCTGCCCAACCGAGTTGAATCCGTCGATTGACCTCTCGGTCGAAGTTGGACTTACCTAGTCGGACTATTTGTCCCAGGTAAACATACTCGTCAACAACTTCGAGCTTAGTGTTCCCAACAACTACCGGCATAGGTGTGACATGGACATTGAACATGATCTTTGTTTTGTCCATGTTCATCTTAAGACCTATCCGTTGGGAAACACTATTGAGGTCATTGAGCATAGTGCTTAGGTCCTCCAGCGATTCTGCCATAAGGACTATATCGTCGGCAAATCGAAGGTGAGTGATGTACTCGCCATTGATGTTGATACCGTATCCTTTCCAGTCCAGAAGCTTGAAAACATCTTCCAATGCAGCGGTAAAGAGTTTCGGGGATATGACGTCACCCTGTCTTACACCTCTCTGCAATTGGATAGGTTTCGTACTCTGGTTCTGTACTCGGATAGCCATCGTAGCCCTACTGTACAAGCACTTCAACACTTCGATATACCGACAGTCAACTTGGCATCGCTGAAGGGACTGCAGCACCGCCCAAATTTCGACGGAATCAAAGGCTTTCTCATAGTCCACATACGCCAGACATAGTGGCAAATTGTACTCCTCGGACTTCTGTACAATTTGCCGAAGGATATGTATGTGGTCTATGGTGCTAAAGCCTTTTCGGAAACCGGCTTGTTCGGGAGGCTGGAAGTCGTCAAGTCTGCGCGCGAGACGATTCGTAATGACTCTCGAAAACAGCACGTAGACGCGGCTCAGAAGGGAAATCGGTCTGTAGTTCTTCAAGAGAGCGTTGTCGCCTTTCTTGAAGAACAAGACCACCGCACTTCTGCTCCACGCCTCCGGTGTAATGCCACCATGGAGGACGGAATTAAAGAGCTTCTGAAGGACTTCAAGTACCGGTTTTCCACCCGCTTTCAGAAGCTCCGCTGTAATTCCATCCTCGCCTGGGGCCTTGCCGTTTTTAAGGTGCTGGAGAGCCATTCTAATCTCGCTCAGACTGACGTCCGGGATATCATCGGAATAATGTCGGATAAGACTCGCTCTTGGATCGTTACTCACACTTGCGTGCGGCTCCAACGATGACGTGTACAGCTGCCCATAGAACCTCTCAATCTCACTCAAAATCTCAGGTGCCCCGGAAACGATGCTGCCACATTCTGTCTTCAGCTTTGACAGTTGGCGCTTTCTGGCAGACAGATCTCTGGCAAAGACTTTGGAGCCTTGGTTCCGCTCGATCGCTTCTTCAATACGAGCTGTATTGAATTTGCGTAGGTCCCGCCGCATGCATTTGGAGATCTGTCTGTTCAGTTGCCTGTATACTGTTAAATCTGTTGAAGAATGTAGCTTCATCTCCCGTCTAACAGCCATGAGATTAAGAGTGTGATCGGAGAGTTTTTGTGTTCTTCTGCGGCGGGTCTTGCAGAACTTAGCTCCGACCGCATGGACAGTTTCCACGAGCTTGTCATTCAAATCGTCCACTTCATTGCAGTCTTCTAGGCACTGAAAACGGTTTTGTAACTCGAGCTGAAAGATTTCCGGACTTTGGATTAGAGCACGAGGGGGACGGAGCGTTGACTTCATTAGACGAGACCTCTCCAACTTAACGTTTAGGTTCAGTGTGCCTCTAACCATTCGGTGATCGCTGCCGGTTTTCACCCTCGCGATCACTGAGACATCACTGAACAGTTGTCGTCTGGTCGTCATAATGAAGTCAATCTCATTTTTTGTCGAACCGTCGGGGCTCGACCAGGTCCACTTCCTGTGGGGCCGCTTCTGGAAGAAAGAGTTCATCATAAAGAGTCCCTCTTTCTCCATGAAGTCGGCCAGCTGCTGGCCCCTTGGGTTCCGTTGCCCTATTCCAAATTTCCCTACTTTCAGCTCACCGTTCTCTCTTGTGCCTAGTTTTGCATTGAAGTCTCCCATTAACACCGTATATTGGGTTTTGGAGGAATGCATGGCTCTAGAGATATCCTCATACATTTCCTCCACCTCCTGATCGGGGTGTGCCGAGGTTGGTGCGTAAACCTGTATGACCTTCAGCGAATACCGTTTGGTGATTCTGAGTATAAGGTACGCAACCCTCGTCGACACACTCTCAATCTTTACAACGTTGTTAACGAGAGACTTGTGGACGATAAATCCGACACCTCCTTGGGACAGATGGTCGCCCTCCCGGTAATAGAGCAAGTTGCCGGATTCGAGGATTACCGTGTCCTCCCCCTCTCTTCGGACTTCGGATAATCCTATAATATGCCAGCGTAACTTGTCTATCTCTTCTTCCAGCTCCACAATCTTCTCGTCAGTCCTCAGGGTGCGTGCGTTGTATGTTGCCAGGTCGAGTCGTCGTAGGTGGCAACCGAACCTCCACCGGAGATTCTTAGCACCCCCTGCCCCGCCGTTACCATGGTCGCCACCGTAGCCAGGAATAGCGGGGCCGCCGGGGACTGGGGGCCGTTTATTATTGTCATTGCTCATGGGGGGTATATTGCCATAGTTGCCACGCTTGGCGAGCGGGTTGGCAACCGCAGTTTTTTTTTATTGTTATTTTGGCTATTATCAGGAAGATGCTGCTGCCCATCTCCTGCCTGTTTCCCTTTGTCGCCTTTTACGACACCCACGGGAAGATATGGGGTAGTGGATATTCTTAACCGCCACTACACGGCCAGTTATTATAACACACGAAAGGACAAAAAGGACGCGAAGTACCTTATTTACTTTTTATAAAAAAAAAACATGTTTTTTTTTCATACGTGTATACGTCTTTAAATTTGCTAACATAGTGGTTGGCAATTCAGAAAACTTACATTTGCTTATTATGCCATTTATCATCAAGTGGATTTATGTTAGTCAATCATCTTTTTTTATGTATGTAACTCAAGTGACAAACGAACTTACAATCCACCTGTACTGATGATAATTGGCTACTCCAGTCCGTGGACTACTGCAGCCAACTTCGAACAAAGAAGGCCGCAGATGCGTTGTCAGCGTCGAAGACGATTGATTGCCTTACAACGTGTCATTATACTGGCCTCCTATATACTTCGGACCGGGCCGCAACAGTGCAAGCACTGCTGTATGACGGCAGAAGCAGGTAAGAGGGTAGTACCTACCCAAACGAATTACTAGGCGAAAAAGGCGTCCTAGAAAATGTTATATTTAGACTGATAAAGAACATATGTTTTTAACTTGTCGACCGATTTTTAATTTTGTTTTATACAATCGATCGTTTCAATTATTTGTTTATATTTAGATACTTATTATAACTGTATATATACTTCGCATATTTAAGTAAGTTAGTAGTAGATGTATTAAATGTTTAGCCAATAATTGTATGTTGGTCAGTTTAAAGAAAATATTTTATATATCCTAATGTACATACATGAATAACTTTAATTTTGAAATAATATTATGATTACAGTGGCGTAGTAATTGATAGGTGCGTTGCCTCGGATGGTATTTTGGGGATGAGTGATTTTTCGCATTCCCTTATCTTTTTGTGTGCTAGTAAAATATAAGAAAATAATATATTACCTGCTACTAAATACCTTTGATAACAACAGAACCAACACTGTATTGAAAGTACTGAAAATAGAGATACGTACACACTCACTCGCACACGCACATGACAAGCATAGAGATGACTATAAACAATAGATAAGCGACACCAGTGTTGGCTGTAGAAGCCCCGTGCGACAACTACCCACGCCAAGCTACTGTATAATCATTAATCACCTTTTTCTAAGTCTGTTGTAACTAAACTGTTCAAACTAGAATATATGTTCAAGTATTGCTAGCACTAAGAAATTATATTTACATTAAAACTAAAATAAACCTACCTATATCCTTTATTTATATAGTGTATTATTTGGTACCTGTAGCCGCTGTATATTTTAAAGTGTTCTAAAAAAGGTGGTAACCCTAATAAAACGGCCTACAGTTTTAGTTGACACCAGTGCCATATTTTTTACATGCAAATTTCGTTACTGAATTCTTTTTATACTATTAGGGTGACAAACGAGCTCACAACCCACCTGATGATAAAACCTGTGGCCCATAGATATCAAAATTTATACTCGATTAAGAATCAAAATGCAGATGGGTTGAGGACAAAATGGAATGCCTCATTTCCAGCAAAAATGGTCTCCGGTTCTCTACAGAATAAAGAGGACATGAATATTTTTTTAGATAGTTACTTGCACATCAGCTGCTGTCCGATTCGTGTGCATTTGTTGGCCTTGGTGCAGTTCAGTGGCGAAGCATTCGGCTGCGACGATCATTTATGTGTATACACGTCCACGATGCAGGAGAAATGCGAATGTTTAATTTTATTATATTTTTTTTAATTTCCGCTTGGTAAATTAATAATTTTCAAAAGTAGGAAGTTCTCAGATCTCCACGTTTTGTGGTCCTAGGAAACCGTCCCGACTATTCCCGGCTGGACATCCGGCCGTGGGTGTGCGTGTGTGTATGTATGTAAATAAAATATTGTTGTACGATATCTTTAAAACGAATCAACCGACCGAGATTGGAGACACGGCGTTCGAAAGTGTTCATTGAGACTTCGAGCTGATTAGATTTTCAAGTCAACCGGTCGAGCCGTTTCAAAGATTTGCAAAAAATAAAAACAAAAAAAATTTCTAGAGTTTCGCTCGAAAATAAGCAGGAAGTTCCAGGTACAACTGAAGAACAGGTAAACAACAACAACAGGTAAAACTGAAGAACGGTTGACCTGCGAGGTCAACCGTTCTTCAGTTTTTTTTTTAAATAATTTTATTTAATTATCCTTTGTTGCTACAATGTTCTGCCCATTGTCTTGTGGCATTCTCTACCAGTCGACCTTGAAACCTTGAATAAATTGAAATGGTACTTTTTGTACTTTTTTTTGGAAACCTTTTTCAAATAGGTGAACTTAATTTGCCGTGCCTAGCAGGTGCATGAGCCACCGCAAATGAAAATGGCGTGACCTTGTCAAGTCAATAGTAATGCCCAACCCCTCTCGTTTCGCGTTCGAGGTGTGCAAGGAAGCATTTTGGCCCTGAGATTTCCCACCGGGCAAGGTGTTCTGCCCGGGAAGCGGCCAACGCTCCGAGTGGTAATGCGGAGTTTTCTATATATACTGTATTACTTCGGAACTTTGACAGCGCGATTTGGGCATCGATGTTTCGCTTGTGGCGCGACGACAGCAAGCCACATCGCCCCGTTGCTCAGGAGGATGATGTTGCAGTCCGATTACCCGTTATTGCCAGTAAGCAAATTATGATTGAAAAAAAAAAACAATTGAAGCAGTATCCTACAACGTCTCTCATTATATGTATTTGGAATGTACTCATCTCACTATTCATATGATACAAAATCATCATCATCATCATCAATCTGCGCGAGTCCACAGCTGGACATAAGCCTCTAAAGGCCAGATAAAGATCAGGCGCTGTATCAATTGCTTTTCGTGCTTTCTTAGGTACGGAGGTGTAACATCACCAACTTACTGACTCTATTAAGTTTCTTGGCTAAAAACCCCAAAAATGATTTGAACTCGGAACCACATACATTTACACACACATACACATTTTTAGTTAGAGCCACGCCGCAGCTATACTATGGTTGTAGCATGAATACGTCAGCTCGACCGGGGTAGGACCACGCTCTCAGCCAGCTCTCACAGTAAGTGGATACTGTGGCCCATAGACATCTACATTTACCCTCGATTAAGAATCCAAAGGCAAATGCGTTGTCACACCTGAGGTCAAACGCACCTACAATCACCATGAAAAACAGAGCAGCGCTGCTGCAGCTATATTAGTAGTATAATTGTAGCACGAATGGGTCGGCTCGACCGGGGAAGGACCACGCTCTCACAGAATACCAGCGTAAAATAGCAGCTTAATTCAGCTTTTTCGTTCGTATGGTGAGTATAGAGACCCTTTTTACTGGAAACAGGGCATTCCATCTTAGTCATCAAAGATAACATTGAATATAAATATAGATGTCTATGTACCACAGACATCCATCTTCTTATCAACTTATCATCCGGTGGAGTATGATGCTCGTTTGGCATCCTTTTTCTATAATTTAAAATAAAAAGTTTTGTACAACGAACTTCAATAAAAATTATTAAGGATAACTCAAAAACTATTGGTCAGAGTTGGACCAATAGTTTTTAGTAGTTTTTTTTATACGGGCCACATGAGAAGCACCAGCTTTCTAATTAAAAAAAGAATCATCGCAATCGGTTCACGCAGAAAAAAGTTATGATGTAACACACATAAACAAAGAAAAAAAAACACAGTAAAATTGAGTAGGTACCTCCTACTTTTTGAAGTCGGAAGAAAAAAATACAGTCGTATTTACGATAGTGCTCGTACGAGGCAGATTGAGAAAGAAAGAAAGAAAGAAGAAATGTATGTGCGTGTCAAGTAGTTGAATATGCTTTCGGCGTCATTTAAAATGTAAGTGGTGGTCTGTTTATCTTACTTCTGTGTTCCTAAATATGAAAATGTACAGAGAACGAAATGCGTATTCCACTGACCGCCTCGTTGATCTGAGGTCCCAGGTTCAATATCATCCTTCATCGTCGAGCGCGTGGTAAATGAGCATTTCAAATTGCAATTAACAATTTCATTGGTGCCGACGGGGATCGAACCCGGGCGACTCGAGTATTGTGAAATTTCCGGCTCACGCCTGGGTTTCCACGGCTCGACTACTTAGCTTGGATGGGACCAAGGTGGCACAGACCTGATCATGTAGGTGCATTGCTGGGACAGCGTCGGATTTTTCACTCGAGAGTTGAGTCCCAGTGAGGCGGCGGGGAGGAACGTACAACTGTTTTTCTTTAATTAACCGGTTCAGTGCGGGTGGCACGACAGGCGTGCCATCGATTACTATTGTGTGTGGCGTATGACACGCGAGTCGTGTCTTTTTAAAAATCGTTATAACTCACTCAAATTGCTTTTTTAGATTTATCCAGAACAAAATATTCGTTATTTTGCAAGTAGTTCATGCCTGCAGCTTCGTTTCTGGATATTTTGAAAATTTGACATTTTTAGGGGTTGACAATCTTTTTTTAACGTGTACATGGTACTATTTTTACTTTGTGGGTTTTAAATCATGTTGTGGAAAAATAGTCTAATAAGTAACAAATAATAGCACTCATTGCGATCGCTCACAAACTCAAGCTATAAATAAATTTCTGGAAAACAAGTCTCCTGAAAAAAAACATTGCGTTTGTCTTATTGTTTAATTTTGCTTAAAATGGTTGAACTGCCGTCTTATTACTATCATATGGCCGAATAGACCTACGAAGTACCATGTGCTCTTGTGATATGGTATAAGGTTTATTTTTGCTTGAAACAGTTCGAAACCGTTCATGCATAAAAAATGTTCGCTAATAAATTGTCTTTTATCAATCCACCGCCGTATAGCGCCGGCGTTTTTTTCCTTTTGAAAACACTTGTTTTGCTATTCTTACTAATTAGGCGTTTTCAGATCGACTTTACTTTTACATTTGTATAACATTAAATAATATTTAACATTTTGTAAATATCAATGAATCATAAACCTTATTTTTTTTACAAAAGGTTTGTAATATCTGCATAAAAAAGTCACTCTCTCAATTTCAAAGAAAACACGTAGAAAAACACGTATTTACCCACTAAAAACAAGTATCGTTCCGTTTGGCGTGGCGCTTGACACGACAGGCGTGTCGCGAAATATTTGTTCGCCGCCACAGCTAAAAGTTGTTGAAAATCGGCGCCGCAACGAATCGGTTAAAACGTTCCATATTAGGATTTCCCCGTATAGAGGAGTATTACATGCATGATTGCGCTAAGGTACGAGAGGGTAATATGGGGTCACGTTAAGCTTTACCGCCCTATAAAACTAAAACTAGGAGGAAAGAGACAAAAACGCAAAGTTGTATACTTTATATAACTAATATATTAAGAAAATAGCCAATAATTAGGTTAACTTAGAAAAATCAGCGTTCATCAAAAAGGCGTTTTGAAGCAGCGCCATTTTGACCTTATAAGTTATAAGAAAGTGAGCATATTAACCGGATACGTGGTAGTGCCACGCTGCAGCTATATTAGTAGTATAGTTGTAGCACGAACGGGTCCACTCGATGGGGTAAGCACCACGCTCTCACAGAATACCAGCGTAAAATAACAGCTTAACACTTGTGTTTCGTATGGTGAGTGAGAGAACCGGAGACCCTTTTTACTAGAAACGAGGCATTCTATCTTAGTCTTCACGGGTGACAACGCATCTATCTGCATTTCGATTCGTAATAGAGGATAGATGTAGATGTCTATGAACCACAGTAACCACTTACCATCAGGTGGACTGTGTGCTCGTTTGTTACCCTAATATATTTAAAAAAAATTACCATTTTACCCTAGTTGTTGTGTGTTGACGGCGTAAACTAAATCAATCACCTCTATTACGTCCCATGTTATCGTGAGAGGAGACTACACAAACTCATTGCGTCCGATGGATGTCGATTTATTATTACCTTTCTTGATGACCGGCGATGTTTATTCAAAGGTGCACACGCCTGACGATTAAGGTGAATTGAGCAAGGCGAATTGTGTAAATATTCTCTATAATGTGAGAGGTCCATGTACAGTTGGGGATTTTTATATATAATTTTCATTAAAACTAAGAGGAAGAATCTCCTTTAAACGTTTTTTTTTTAGTGGGTAACATTAAAATAAAACAACAAACACAATTTGTACAAATCACAATTTATTTTACTATTTACAACGTAGCACGACACGCACCCACTTCGTTACAAACCTAAAGTAACATATAAATATATCTTCTTGGATCATAATGATAAGCTATATAAAACGTAACGTTGTTGAGGGGTTACATCATTCGCAACTACACGCGTCCCGGTTTCTGTCACCATGACATGACACGGTTTTGTGCACGGCGCGCTTTTATATTACATCGTAAAATTTAACGAAAGTCAACACATTCGATTACTCGCCATTCAATGCACTACAGTGTACATTGTTTTCTTTAGTAATTTTATAAAAGACAAGACAAAACATAATTTAAAATTAAAAATTTTGTACAACCAACTTCAATATAAATTATTAAGAATAACTCAAAAACTATTGGTCAGACCTTGATCAAATTTATATGGGACCGCATGTAAAGCACCGGCTTTCAAATAAAAAAATTATCATCGAAATCTGTTCACCCAGAAAAAAGTTATGAGGTAACACATATAATAAAAAACAGAATCGATTTGAGTACCGTTCCCTTTTTGAAGTCGGTCGAAAACAAATTCACTTAAAGGTAAAACTATAATAACTACATAGAGATAACATATACTAAACACGTTTTCTCACCGCAGACGGGATCAAAAACATGTTTGGCGTACTGATGTAAGCGCGCGTCGTAAAAGGCGACAGAGGGAAACTGGAACAAGACATGGTCAGCAGCATCTCCCTAATAAAAAGCACCCCAGCCTGCCCAGAGTGGTAACTATGGCAAAGTTACCACTATAATGCAATTCATAGGGGAGGCATATGATCAGCAGTGAACTTTTATAGGCTGTAATGCATGGACAACGGATTTCATTTAAATATTGTAGGTTTTTCGATCAATTTACAACGCAAAAATTGTAATCAAGTGTTGCCGTAAGACCTGTAAATGCGTGCGAGCGCACAATATGCCTGTTACGTACACACATTTCATTTCTGCATCGGCAGCCACAAAATCTGAACGAATCGTTACTATAAAAACGCTTAATTTTTTATGGTAATTAACATTTTGTGGTGCCTATATGGGAGCGGTGTATAGTGTCACCGGATTGAGCGTCACGTATGACACGAAAGCAAAATATTTCATATAATATAATATTATTATGGTTTTATAATAGTATAAACTAGTAAAACGCAAGAGATTTATAATCAAAATTGTGAAGAAAAATAAATGTACAGGAAGTATGAAAAAAAAATAAAACACAAAAATAAAATGGAAAATTATTTAAATTTTTAGTATAAACAATTTTTTTTAATATTTAGTAAATTTGTAATAGATTCGATGTGAACAAAAAGTATACATTCGTTAATTAGTAGTGAATTATAGTACCTAGGAGTAATGCAACATTAGAGCCACATCACTCCAATGGAAGAGAAACTAGGAAAAAAAACACGCCTTCTTCTAAACGAAGATTTTCAATTTTAAATCAAATCGGTCAGTAGCATGTCCATTTTGAGTATATATCTACGGTGATGCCATAGTGTCTAAAACTTTCACCAGTAGGTACTGTTTGTTTGATTAAAACATTTGTAAGAGTTGACTGGTTTGAAATGCCTTAAATCCGCCCTTCGTAGCATTTTTATGCAGGCAACACAGGAAAGTGTAAATAATATAATTTATGTAAAGTATATTTTTAATGTGTTTAATTATCCCACAAGCAACCGAATCTAATTACCGCTGTCCGAAACAATTTAATGTAATTTTAAGTACTGATTTACAATGACATTTAGACATTAGAAGATAAAGAAAAACTTCCTAAAAGCTTTATATCTGGTAAAATAATATTCTGCTGACATGTGAAGTCAATCAGATCGCAATGCAGAAACGTGTGGGAGTTTTTTCCATTATTAATTCGGAAATGGACTTTTTCTCAAATTTCAAATTTCTGAAAAATTTCAAAACAAATTCTACACAAGATCGATTAATTAACTTCCAACTTGTAAAATTATTATTATACAGAAGAAACACGTGACAAGTCTTAAAACCGTATCGATATGAACGCGTGCACAAAACCGTATCCAATAGAATCTTATATAAAATGAAGAGTATAGACTGAGACGGCTCTAAAATCAACGTTGAATGCAACGTTACATAGAACATGTAAACTTTTTTTTTCTCATGTTTGCTCTTTTCTACTTAACATAATATCAACAAATTTAACTCATTTTTATCCTTAAATAAGCTAACAGATTTACATAGTTTGATTGTCGTGTCAATTCATTAGTGACACTACGTTCAGACAAACACTTAGTTTATATAATATTAAAAAAAAAACAGTCGAGACACAATATTCTTTAATTAAAAAAAAGAAATTCTTCCATGATCCACTGAACAAAAGTAAATAATTTTACTATAGTCCCATAGACATTCAGCAGAATCAGGGAGATAAATATCGTTTAACAGAAATAACAACATATTTCTGTCACCCATATGTCTACCAATATGGTAAACATATCATGAACCCCCTGCCACCTTCTCTGTAAATAACATATGGGGCCAGGTTTAGCTATGGACTGAGAGACTACAATAATGATACTGAAGTATTTGAAAATCAATAATGTGTATTTATTTCATATAAGATTTTCGAAGAGGACAGAGGCGACATCTATTGTATCTCGAAGTAAAGATAAAAATCTGATAATACAAAGTCTATCTAACATCAAGTTTAGGACGTTTGCTTAATTAATTAAAAAACGGTTAAAACAGTTAACATGTTAAGCAACTAATAACCTTAGTAGTTGGAGATAAGGTCGACGTTTGCGTGCATTTTCATTTAACTGTCAATATATTTATTTATAGGTCTAAGAAGTAGGGATTCATTTTGTAGTGTAATTGTATGTATTGTGAATATCGCTACTTTATCCAATAATGATAACACAACCGTACTACCGTTTTTAAGTGTCGTTATAGTGGATAATGAGATTTAGTGTGCGCCTCGGTATTTGACCGGACACTTGTTACCTAATTATTCGACGATTGTATATAAAATTGAAAATTCCAGACATTTAATGTAGCTATAGTTTTGTTATCTTTGTAGAATTTATTAATTAATGGAAAACCATATATTTAAAAACTTAGCCTCTTTTTTCGGACTTGTCCGGATATATTCTAAAGTAAGGTGACCCTATTAGCAGAGTCTGACGTATCTATTGTTCAGTGGCGTTGTGTAATGAGAGGAATGTATCGTTAAAGAAAGTCGAAATAATATGAAACAAAAAAAAACATCGCTGAGTAATGGTGTGAATATTACATTAATAGCCAATATGGCGTAGAATTGAATGTTTACAATCGATTTATATGAATTCTATGACAACAGATTCAGGCACAGACCTATTGCCAAGTGCTGATTTTGTATAATTTTGTATCCATCCAAAGTATACGGATTGTAACATATAACGCAACCCCTGGAAGCAGTTCCTTCAAAATCGATTACTCAATCTGGAAGTAATTCTTTTAGAATCGATTTCTGATAGTTTTAATACAGATATATTTTTCCTTCTAAAAATATTCTAAAATAAAAAAAATAGTATAAGGCGTAAATTAAGGCAATAAGACAGGTCACCACGCTGCCATCTTCACACATGCACATAATAACAAATATAATTACATTATTACACACAAACATTTGTAGTATGCCCATACTTATCGGCAGGAATGGCCTATTTTTTTTTTAAACAAAGTTAAAGCTCATTAAAAATATTTTGTGTATTATGATTCCAATCAATATCCTAATTTATTTAGACGGGTCAGTAGCACAGTAGTCAAGCATTCACCTGCGGGTCGCGGATTCGAATTCCGCACGGAACAGTTATTTAAAAGGCCAAGAAATTATTTAACCAGCCACAATCTTTGTCTTTATACACTTTTGTTTAATACCTCCATGATACAAGAAGGATTTCCTAGTGTAATGTGTGTAATTAAATGTTTTAGAATAAATACAAAAACAAAAAACATACAGTCGAATTGAGAACCTCGTCCTTTTTGAAGTCGGTTAAAAATACAGTACAACTTGATATATATGGGATTGCGTTATATTTCTGCTACACATTGTATAGCAACAAGAACACTCGCGAGCGTGTCACGCCGTCGAATGCGACGCGGACCGTACCTCACAGTGATAAATGTTCACGCGCATTCGTCGAGCAGTTATGACGTCATCATGTCGTTGTTGGAAGGCTGTGAACAGACGCTGGCGCCCTTCAGCAGATCGTTGATGTCGCGCCGGAACATCGACAGGTTCTGTGTGAATCTGGAATCGAATGCGAAATTCAAATGCTGATGCTTTATTTCCCCTGAGCTGCGATGGGATGGCTTGTGACCAGTAAAAAGAATGACAACCGGAAAAGATTCTCGTCATTCAACATACGAAACAACAACATTATGTTGCTATTTCACGCTGGTATACTATACGAGCGTGGCCCTTTCCAGTACAGAAGACCCATTCATCCTGCAACCATCATAATAAAGCTGTAGCATGGCCACGCTTTATTACGTTGAGAATTTGGCAAATTAGTAAACACACACACGCACACGTTTGAACACGTGTGTGTGTGTGTGTGTGTGTGTGTGTGTGTGTTTATTAATTTGCCAAATTGTCTGTGTCTGCATGTTGCTGCGTTTGTCTGCGTGTGTCAGCGTGAGTCAGCGTTTGTCTGCGTGTGTCAGCTTGAATCAGCGTGTGTCTGCGCATGTCAGCGTGTGTCACTGTATGTCTGCGTGTGTCAGCGAGTCTGCGTGTGTCAACGTATGTCTGCATGTGTCTGTGTGTGCCTGCGTGTGTCACAATACTTCAGCGTGTGCCTGCGTGTGTTAGCGTGTCTGTGTGTGTCTGCGTGAGTCTGCGTGTCTGTGCGTGTCGGCATGTGTCAGTGTGCCTGCGTGTGTCAGTGTATATCTGCGTGTGTCATCGAGTCTACGTGTGTCTGCGTGTGTCTGCATGTGTCAGCGTGTGTCTGCATGTGTCTACGTGTGTCTGCGTTTGTCTGTGTGTGTCAGCGTGTCAGCGAGACTGCGAGTCTCTGCGTATGTAGCGTGTGCCTGCGTGTGTCAGCGTGTCTCTGTGTGCCAGCGTGTGTTAGCGTGTCAGCGTGTGTCTGTGTGTGCCTGCGTGAGTTATCGTGTCTGCGTGTGTCTAAGTGTGTCAGCGTGTGTCTGCGTGAGTCTGAGTGTGTCTGTGTGTGCCTGCGTGTGTTAGCGTGTCTGCGTGTGTCAGTGTATGTTAGCGTGTGTCAGCGAGACTGCGTGTTCCTGCGTGTATCAGCGTGTGTCTGCATGTCTGCGTGTGTATGTGTGTGCCTGCATATGTTTGCGTGTCTACGTGTGTCAGCGTGTGGCAGTGTATGGCTGCGTGTGCTCACCGGTCCCTGTTCTTGGTGAGCAGGTTGGGCTCGATGCCGGCCATGAGCCCGTTGAACCAGTGCGCGAGCTGCGGCTGCTTGTCGTGCGGCTGGCGCGCGATGAGCTCGGCGCGCAGGCGCGCGAAGTGCTCCTCGTTGAGCAGCACCAGCCCCAGCAGCGGCCGCGACATCGACCACTGGTTGCAGCACTCCTCGAACATTATCACGTTCAGCACCTGGACCCACATTCGATCCACTTCATTCCAGGCCACTTAGCGCTTCATCATGCGGAACACGCGGTAGCGACAATGAAGCGAGTGCGATGGCTTGGCTGAGCTCGTTCACATATTAGTCGCCAGGTGTTTGTACGAGTGTAACGTGTTGTCAGATGTTGTAAACATGGACGACAATCTTTTATTATAATCAAAATTTCAAAAGATATAAAGTAGAATTGGTGTGCACGAAATTAATAAAGAAAGAAAACGGTATAGTGAATTTCATACCTTATACAATAAAAAGGCCTACTACGTCCCACTGCTGGGCACAGGTCTCCTTCTATTTCTGAGAACGTTTTAGGACTAGAAAAAGTCCGCCGCGGTGCCTCAACGCGTGTGGACTTTATAATTTAAATAATATTAATTTTGACGGTTTATGTTAATTTCATTAATATTAATTATGTCAGAAAATTGCATAAGAATTTACGACTATTTATTGTTATTGCATTTTTATTAACCAATCAGAAGCCAGAAGTTCATGGCGTGAGTAATACAGTGATCATAACAACCAATCACAGCAGAGGTTCGCTGGTGAAGCGCCTCGAGTGGAGTCGTGGTGCGAGTGGAGTCGTGGTGCGACTGAACGGAAAAGACAAAAGTGGAGCGGATAGATGAAAACATCGGCATAAACACGTTTGTTATTTTAGGCTTGTATTTACCCAACGTCTCGCCCACACAACCTGTTTGTAATAATGGCGTCAATGGAAGCGACTTTTCTTCGACATATATATGTATAAGAGATTTCCACCTATGTACTGACTCATCGCGATATCTCTGGAACCATAAAGCCTAGACTTGAAATTTAGTAGGGATTTTCCTTTCGCCGAGTAGAGGTCAGCTAAGTACAGATCTTTACGAAATTCCATCTGCAAGGGTGGTTGCGTCGGTTAATGTGTATTTTTTTTTTTTACAAAAATCACATTTTCAAACTTTAGTTCTTATAGGTATAAAACTTGGCCACATTATTATTTTTGACATGTTAAAAATGACCAAGAACGAATTTTATGAAATTCCACCCACAAAGGTCAGTGCAGGGGCGATCAAAATAAAAAAAAATTAAACTTTTAATCTACAGCTCCTTTAGTATCGCTAAAACTCGAAAACGGCTAGATCGATTCTGATGAATTTTTTGTGTGCGTTTGAATGGGTCCTTGGATGATCTAAACGATTCACAATTAGATCCGGTAGGTGGCGCTGTTGTCGAGACCCAGAAATCACCCGTGCGAAGCCGGGTCGCTAGTTATAAATATTTTAAAAGTGAAACTTTTATGTAAATCTATAATCAAATATATAATTTTATATCAAATATTGAGAAGTAAAATTACTAATAATTGCGTCGCGGTATAGTCCCGAATGCTCGTTAACTAGAATTGTACTTACATAACAGTAAATCTCATCACATATTTTGGACAATTTCAAAATAGTATTAGTGCCTAACCCACTTTAGGAATCGCTGTTCTGAGTTATCACTAATATATACTGACGTGGGGGCAACACTAACCAAATGAGATGGGCAGCAGCGTCTTTCAAATAATGACTAAAAATAAAAAATAAACTGCGGTTGTCGACCCGCTTGTCAAGTGTGGCAACTATGAGGCAATATACGGGGGAGGCCTGTGTTCGGCACACCGTAACGGTAATTTATATACATACTGGCAGACGTTGTTCTAATTTTTTTCTTTATTGAGGATAGATGTAGATGTTATGGACCACAGCATCCATTTACCATCAGGTGGACTGTGGGCTTATTTGTCACCCCTATTCCTACAAAAAAATATATTATGGTTAGTTTTGTTTGTCCCAAGACTGACGGTGGCGAGCAGCTGCTGCAGGATCTCGGGGCGGCGCTGCAGCACCTCCACGAACATGTTGCTGGTCTCCGGCGCCGCCTGCCGCGGGTTCGTAACCTTGTTGCTCGCTGAAATCGAAAAAACGTAATCATTTCTTATGAATAAAACTATTTTTACGAATTCTATTGCGTTTAATTTACTTAATTACGAGTAGTGGCACGCAAGTCTAGCGGTGACCTATATTGCGCATAAGTGGCACTGATTCGCTCGTGCGCATCGTTCGCACGCACTGATTGGCTCACCAGTAGCATTTGTGCAATTCAATTCGTGCGCGTCACCTCCACGTTTCGTTCAGCGCTAGACTTACGTGCCGCGTCTTGTACGTGCTATATACGTCCCACAACTAGGCACATGCCTCCTCTCATTTCTGTGAGGGTTTTAGGGCAAGGCAATGTCCGCCGCGTTGCCCCAATGCGTGTTGGCCAACTTCAACAAGTCTTCGAAATATTTTTTTTATTTCGCAGACATGCAGGTTTCCTTAAGTCCAAATATATAAATAATGATATACCGTTATTTTAGTTTTTGAAAATACGAATAAATAAGGCTTCTATTTTTTTTTTGAAGTTATCCCAAATTGATGTGATTTATGGGCAACAACATTTTTCTCTATCAATCGGTCCTTACAAATGTGTGCGTGCGCAGTAAAACTAATGCATTAAAACGCATTTTGAATTTCAAAGATTAAAAATACAGAATATTTGTGATTTTTTTTTTAAATTAACATTTCATCATTTGCCTGTGTTACTTATTTCTCTGTAAAATTGGCCGGTTATTGCAAAATAACCCTGTGTAATATAATAATCTAAGACGACATAATTATTGATTGAAAAAAAAAACAGATGCAAAGTTAATAATAATAGATAAATACTTACTTTTCTGAACTAATTGTTTAAACAGGTATGTGACTATGTGGTCCAGGGTCGCACAGCATCCCGTACACACACTTGTGTCTGAAATCAAAATGACAAACATTATTATAAACTCACCGAGCCATTCGACAAATTGCTTACGAACACATTATATCTATACATATAAATAAAATTTAAGTGTCTGTCACGTAGTGTTGAAATAACAGGTTTCTATTAAGCTCATAAACAATCATTATTTAAACTTTTGTCTGTATGTCTGTTCGCGCTAATCTTCTGAATGGCTAAGCCGAATGTGATCAAAGACCGAAAGAATTTAGGGTATATTTTATATGAAAAACATGAAGAAATTTTGTTTTTGAAAAATTAAATGGTGTTTGATTATCTTATATCAAAATAACGGTACATTAATAGATCTTGTCCAGGTGATGCCGAGGCGGGGCACTATATATTACAATAAATTAACAGTCTATTGAAAACATATTATTTAATATTTTACATCATTAAAAGAAATAGTAGCAAAATGGAGAACCTTTATTAGAACCTGATTTAATATCTACTATCTGATACCGGCGACTTCGTCCGCATTGCTTAAGGCTTGGTATTCCAAGCGCATTAGGTATTTACAAGCGGTCGTCGCAAAGATCGCGTCGGGCCACACATATTATCGTGATTTTTACAAAATAATCCCAAAAAAAAATTGTTTTAAATTTATAAACAAATATTTTACACATTGAGAAATAAACACACAAAAAAAAAGCTTAACTATGGTCTATACTAGTTCCATAAAACTATAGTTATTTACAATTTATTTTATTTCCTAAATATTATTTATGGCACAGAAGAGAAGTACGCGGTCTTACCTCGGCAGTGTCCCGCAAGACACTGGCAATGTTTATTTTAATAAATGTAATGAAAAAAAAAACGATCGAGTGAAATTCATTCTAAATTAAACTGCAAATCGAAAGTAGTTCGGTATTTTTTTTTAATAAATGTAATGAAAAAAAAAACGATCGAGTGAAATTCATTCTAAATTAAACTGCAAATCGAAAGTAGTTCGGTATTTTTTTTTTCTATCGAGAAAATTGTATTGTATAGTGTATTAATCAAGAAGTTGCTATGGATTTTGAGAAACATTTTACTGATGTTCCTTTTTTGACAACAACATCATTAAATTCTTCTCCTACTGTTGCCGAATCATTGCTCAAACAAAATGTAAAGGCTTGTTGAAATACTTTTAAATTCCATAGAGTACTGCCAAAAGATATCGTTAAATATTTTAAAACTATTGATGTTAAGAAAACGGCAGACTTATGGGCGATTTCCGTTAAAGTTATTTTGTCTATAATAGATATAATAGCACCTTATCTAGCCACTATATTTAATACAAGCGTTGAATCTGGTGTGTTTCCTGATTTAATGAAACATAGTAGTCATACCTTTATTTAAATCTGGTAGTACATTAGACCCCGCCAATTTTAATTTTTGTACCAATTTCTGTACTACCAACATTTAGTAAAATTTTTGAAAAAATCATTTTAGATCAGATGTTAAGTTTCTTTAATATTAATAAATTGCTACATAAAAATCAATTCGGTTTTACAAGGGGTCGCTCGACAACTGACGCTGGAGTTGAGCTTATTAAACATATCTTTTGTGCATGGGAGAATTCAGAGGATGCTTTGGGTATATTTTGTGACCTTTCCAAGGCCTTCGACTGTGTTCACCATGAGACATTAATCAGGAAGCTACAGTACTATGGTGTCAAGAACACTTATTATTTCATATTTAAGAAACTTATTATTTCATATTTAAGAAACTTATTATTTCATATTTAAGTAATAGAAAGCAGAAGGTTATTATCAATGGTAAAAGTTCTTCCGGGTCACCTGTACTAATGGGTGTCCCTCGGGGCTCGAATCTTGGCCCATTCCTGTTTCTGGTGTATATTAATGACTTACCTCACCTTGTAGGGGATAGTCATGATATAGTGTTATTTGCTGATGATACTTCCTTGATTTTTAAACTTAAACGTCAATCATTTAGATGTGACGAAGTGAATAATGCTATATCCAAATTAGTGCATTGGTTTAACGTTAATAATCTGCATTTGAACGGAAATAAAACTAATTGTGTTAAATTTACAACAACGAATGTTAAAAATCTGAATTATAATGTGTTTTTAAATGGGGAGGAATTGAGCCCTGTTGTATCAACTGTTTTTCTTGGCATCATTCTCGGCGCAAAGCTTCAGTGGGGCCCCCATATATCCAAATTAGCAAGCAGACTAAGTTCTGCAACCTATGATGTAAAAAAGATTAGAGGTCTCACTAGTGTTGAGACAGCTAGATTAGTTTATTTCAGTTATTTCCATAGCATAATATCTTAAGGGATTTTGCTATGAGGAAATGCGGCTGATTCAGAAACTATTTTTGTTTTACAGAAGAGGGCCATTAGAGCTATTTACAATCTAAAACCGAGAGAGTCTCTTAGAGATACATTTAAAGAAATAAATATATTAACTTTGGCCTCTCAGTATATTTACGAAAATTTAATGTATGTTCACAAAAACAAAGATAGTTTTAGTAAAAAAAGTGATGTGCATTCTGTAAACACTAGGAACAAACACAAGCTAGTGATGCCTGTTTCTCGACTCCACAGAGTCAGTAATTCATTCTTGGGGCAATGTATACGCTATTACAACAAGGTCCCGGAAAGTGTACAGGTTCTTTCTATTACCAAGTTTAAATGTTTTGTAAAGTTGAAACTGTATAAAAAGGGTTATTATAGTATAAATGAATACATGATAGACCCCTGCGAATGAGGTGGTCGCTTCCAAGCAGTTTCTAAAATAAATTTTGTAAATAGTTCGTAATCATTTATAAAATTTATTTAAAAAAAGTCCCGCTGAGTTTCTTGCTGGTTCTTCCCAGGACCGACGGTTTTTTTTCGAACCAGTGGTAAAGTAAAAAATGACTTTCAATAAGAATTACACATGTGATGTATATTGAATAAAAATTATTCTATTCTATTCTATTGACCAGGTGCATCGTAAGGAAAAATAATGTATCTAAATTTTTTTTTCCCTAATTAAAACCAATTTTAAAACGAACAAAAACAGAAACACCCAGCCTTAACTTTATATTAAATGAAGATGTTGCAATTTTTTTTTTAGATAATGGTCCAGTGTCTAAGAAATAAAACTTAGAAAACCTAATTAAATTCTATTCAGTAGTATTTTCCGTGATACGCGCACAACTGCAAACCGTCTTTCATTTTATCTATATAGACTATCTTTAATGGTACATACATCAATTTTACTGGATGTTAAGACTATTTTCTGCCTAAGAAATCATCCGTTTATATAGGTATCATTCTTATACTTATACTACCGTGATATTAGCATTGACAGATACACATAAATAACAAAATAAAAAATTGTTTTTTTTTAAATAATGTTTTCTTATATATACGCGAAGACTACACATTAAATGAAACTAATTTTTACGGATTCTATCGCGGTTATTTTAACTTTTTTTGCAGTGTGTGAACATGTTCAAGATCGTCCCCGCCATTATATTAGACTAGCTGTTCCCCGCGACTTCGCCCGCGTGCAATTTAGGGTTTTAATTTTTTTTGCAAGGTACCCTAATTATAATAAAGTAGCCTAAGTTACTCCTTATGACAACAGCTATATACCAGTGAAAGTCCCGTCAGAATCGGTCCAGCCGTTTCGGAGATTAGTCGGAACAAACAGACAGACAGACAAAAATTTAAAAGTGTATTTTTGTTATAAGTACCGTTTATACTTTCATATGCATTTAGTAATACGCTGTAATTTTGACATTACAAGTAGACACTTCAGTTTTATTTATTTGTATAGATTTGATAGACCACCAATCCTCGAAAAATAACACCGATTCCTACCAAGGATGCGTCGTGAGGCTACTGAAATTTAAAAAAAACATCCTAATTTCAATAGAGACGATGGATGGGTGCTGCCATCTGCTTGGGATCCTATAATTGCAAACCCAAGCACTGCAAGTCTTCAAGATACTGTAAGCTCATTCTGAATAGATCGGACCAAAAATTATTCATTTGTATAGATGTATATTATACATCAGTGTGTGAAGGTTATGGAGAGTTGAACATCTCACCCAAGGCGGTGAGTCCCTCGGAGACGGAGGCCAGGATGTAGAGCGTGGCGTCGGGCTGCAGCGAGGCCAGGAACGGCATGTGGTCCTGCGCGAGCCGCTCCAGCAGCACGTAGTACGTCTGCGATAGCTTCGGGTACTCCTGCAACACACACCGCCCTCACGTTACTTCTATGGGTACACTACACTTTTTTTGGAACGAAGTTCCTTATCGCACGGTACGAATTTGGCGGATGGGGGCTAGGCGAGAAAAAGTGTAAGATTTTTCCGTCACGACCTCTTGTGTTGTAGTGTAGACGGCCTTGGCGGCTATAAGGAAGCGAGATGGAATAATATCCATCTCCCTCGCACTTTTTCTTATCTTGCCATGAAAGAAATAATATTTTATTTCAAATGACACATCATTGTAATAGACGCTAGTAATTCATTTATTTGTACTTGTTAATCAATAATATAATACGTTTATCAATAATAATACGAAAGGAACTTCGTTTCGACCGAGTGTTTCACGACACTCACACATGTTTTTTTATTTACCACCAGGTGTTCCCCGCGACTTCGCTCGAGTGTTATTTCGAGTTTTAATTATTTTTTTTTGCGTGAAACCCTAATTCTTTTTCTAAAATAAAAGTAACCTAAGTTACTCCATATGACGTCAGTAACTTTACTGTCATAGCACCGACTTCAGATAAAAGCTAAAATATTTTCATAATATACAGGGTTATTTTTCAAAAGGTTGCCAAATTTAAAACTTAAGTGCAAATATAAAAATAATGATATACCGTTATTGCAGTTTTTTAAAATACGAGAAAATAAGGTATTTACTTTTGTTTGAAATTATTTCAAATTGAATGTGATATAAGGGCAACAATATTTTTGCCCACCGATCGACTCTTACGAATGTGTTCGTGCGCAGTAAAATCAATTAAAATAATGCATTACATATAAAAAGGACGGAATGTTTGCGATTTTTTTAATTAACTTTTTCTTCGCCATTTGCCTATCTATATTACTTATTCCGAACCCTCTCTGCAAATTTGACCAGTTATTGCAAAATAACTCTGTGTAAGAAGATTAAAGCAAAAGTGTAGTATCGAGAAGTATTTTCCACTTCTAAACGGACTCTAGGTAACTTCTAAGAAAGACTCACCAGAAGATCGTTCTGCGGTATACTCAGCAACAGTTTCACGAACATATTGAGTGCATTGTCTAATGCTTCGTCACCGTATAACCTAAAAAATACTTACGATTAGGTTTTCTAGAGAAACGAAATTTTTGTAAAAACAAAACACCTAGACCTCATTTCCCCATGTAAAACAAAAAAAAAGGCATGGATGCCCCTGGCACTGAAGTGTAATGTACACACTAATGAATGCAAAGAAATAATTTTGTGCGTAGGCACCGTTGATTTATCTCAACAATCTTCTTGTCTGGAATTAGGTAGTACTTTTTACATTTATTTCCTCACATATCAACAAGAACGTTAGTTGTTTTAAGACCAAAAAAGCACACACACAATCTTTAATACACTTTATTCTTGTTTTTATCAAATAATACAACTTTTTTTGCCCTACTTTCGTACTAGTTTCGAGAAATTTTAGCTATTTTAAATAATAAATCTACTTGATAGGCTATCGGTGATATGAGTATATTTCAGAGTTGGCAGCTAACGTCAAATCAAAACGACATCAATCCGCCATTAGTGTTGCATTTTTTGTGACAATAAAATATTAATATTAATACCACTGAAATTAAAGAATATTCGTGTATTTGAATGATCAAGCGGTTTAATATTTCATTTTAATTTATTTCTATACTAGTACAAAACTAAACCTACGCCCGCTTCCGCTAGACAGCTTCATACAATTTTGGACCGTCTCAGTTTACCTTTTTGTGTATGAATTTGCCAGGATGGTTTGGTAGAAAATAAACAGAAATGGAGTCGGCAGTGTACCTGAAAACACCGAAGTTCGCGTAGTTTCCGCAGAGCGCGGCCTTCAGTATGGAGAAGCAGAGCGAGATCCCTTTCAGCTTCATCGGGTACATTTGTTTCTTGTTCACGTCTATGGTTAGTATTCTGCTGCCTGAAATATAACTATATTTAAATAAAATTAAGTTTTAGCTTTATTTATATATTTGAGCTACAAATGGAGCAACGAATAACATTGTTTACAAAAGTAATTTTGTCTTTTTGATGTTTTTTCCCTTCGCACATCTACTGTCCGTGTCTAAGTGACTGAACTCCTCCTAAACGGCTGGACCAAATTTGATGAAATTTTGTGTGTCTGTGATTAAATTAATAAGAGGATGGTTTAAATTCACAATTGAACCCGGTAGGTGGACGGTTGAGATCCAGAAATCAATCGTGCATAGCCGCGGCGAATCGCTAAAATTCCTATATAATTAATAAAATTAAATCCCAACCCAAGCACACAACGGGTGTGTGGTGCAAGCGAGAGTTTCTGCAAGTTGCCGGTGTTTCTACCACTGACCGTATGCGCAGATGATGCTGGAGAGCTCCCTGAACAACAGGATCCCGTTGGGCGAGGAGACGTCGAAGTGCAGCCGCTGATTCCTGTTCTGTGCCAGTTCGGCAGCTAACTTCAGTAGCGGCGTGGTCACCGCCGGTTCGGAGAACCAAGCCTCCAGCCCTCGAAGTAACACCTTCATGTATACTGGGTAGCTGGAACAATCGGGGCAGTTTTTTTTTATATAGAACAAACGATGACGAAACGAGCACACAGTCCACCTGATGCTAAGTAGATGCTGTGGCCGATAGATATTGTGCCGGACGGGCGTAACTCTCCGGAGTAAATGTTATCGAAGATACTCCGCGAGTCGCTCACGTCCTACACCTATAGGTTCCGGAGGATACTTTCACTGCCGCCTCTGTGTGTGCTGCTGGAAAACTGTGGACTGAGGTTCAAAATTAAAATGCACGATTTATAAATTCAAATAGCAAGAGAGTGGCCAGCGGTTTGACTGATTAATTAGTCGCGAAATTCTATAATTATTATTTATTGATCACGGTTGCTGAACACGGTTGTTCAACTACGGTTGTTCACTATCGGTTGGTCACTATATATTTCAAAAGATTTAATTAAAATGTGCGGTAGTATTAAAATATCTATTGGCAGTATCAAATATCTATTGGTAGTATCAAAAATATCTATTGGTAGTAGCTGGTTTTCTAACACTACTGACTAGCAGCTATTAATCAACTAAAACTAGTTGATTTTATCACTTGTGTAACAGCGAATATCAGTTACCACTTTTTTCGGCTAGCTAACACTTTTTTACTATATGCAACTGCGAATTTTCAGTTACCACTTTTTTCGGCTATGTGTAACTGCGATTTTCAGTTACGACCTTTTTCGGCTAGCTAACACTTTTTCTAATTCACTATCACTGTTAACTATGTTCTGCTACTAGTCACTTCAGCTACTACCGGATACTACTGCTTGTTACTGATAGTTCTTCACACTACAACGTTACTGAGTTTCGCCCAATAAGGTAGACTTCGGCTATACTGTATAGTGAGCCGCTTGCCATTTTCCGTTTTGTCTCTTAATTTTAAAACATTTTCACTATGTAATTAGCATAAATTGCAATATTTTCTATATAAGGTTAAATCTTACACTAATATGCTAAACATTATTAAATCGGCATTTTGGTCCTTTATCAGTATATGATAAAGGTTATTCAATATATTTACATTTTAAAAAGTTATTAAACGAAATGTCCCAAATTTTCATAACAAATGGGTACATTAATTCTTTAATTTTTCTATAACTACCAAATGCGTTTAATTATACAAATTATTTCTTCACTATCGTAATCTATATACCATATGCTAACTAAATGTCATATTTACAACTCTTTTAGAACACAAAAATATTCTCATTATTTTTAGTATAAACTATTGCGCAGTTAATTAAATTTCCAGAAAGTTCTACGATATGACGCGCTGTGATTGGTCGATTTTTTCTTAATTAAAGTTGTTTATATTAACTATTATCAAAACGACATTCTATACAAATATATGAAGAGTTATAAACATGATGTAAAACTATATTAACACACTATTCACTCGATTTCGTTGGTAATTTCACTTTTTATACAAAACAATATTCTTTCATCACTTTGTTTCTTAGTCGTTAGGCCGTCGCGAACATCTCTCCCGCCGTGCAGCGTCGCGAAGATCTCATCGCAGCGGCGCTGCATCCATTCCGTTGCTTCTACTTCGGCAGCGGCACGAGTTTCCTGGTTGGCCTCTTGATTAGGCTGTTTGCGGTGCGTACCTCCACAGTGCGGATCTGTCCGTCCGCACCGGGGAAAATTGCTTCAATCCTTCCTCGTGGCCAGGTGTTACGAGGTAACTGGCCGTCGGCTATGAGGACTGGACCACCCACCTGGAGATTGGGGCCTCGTCCATGAGCCTCCCGCCGGTTTTGAAGTTCCGGTAGGTATTCTCGGCAAACGCACCAGGCCCAAAGTAGTTCAGACCGGTGAAGGTGAACGGTCTCTGGTGATGAGCGAGACGTGTGCTGGGATGACCACCGGTGGCTGGCACGGATGGTTGCGCTTTTCTGATGCGACACTGTACGCATTGGCTCACTATCCTTTTCGTGGTGGGTCTAAGTCGGATTACCCAATAGTGATGTCAAACCTCGTTGATGGTAGGTTCGGTTCCGCAATGATGCAAACTACGATGCGTCCAGTCGATATACAGTTGAGTGATGTAATGATCACCATCCAATATAGCTGGCCCTTTCATGTCTTCCGAGACTCCCTTCACGGCGGCTATGCGAATTCGTAGAGCGATGATCCCGTCTTTCAATTCTATTTGGAGCGGTCGTAAATGGTTATCATGGGCGACCTTTTTATTGTTACGGAGATCGGCTATTTCTTGTGTGAAGGAGTCTTCTTGGATGACACGTCTCAGAAGTTTTTCAGCCTCTCTGATGTATTAGGCCTTGAGTGTGATGTATTTATTTGCATCTCTATTCTTCATTTGACTGGGAAGTTGCGCGAGGTGTCGCGGATTATTTTTCGATTTCCTCCAGTCGGGATCTTCCCCGTTATTCCTTTTGTAAAAGGTTCTGTCTGTTGTTTTGCGGCGGAGTGTTATAAACTGAAGCACTTTGGCCGTAGCTCGCAATAAGCGTTTCTATTTTAAAATTTTTATTGGATCGGGAACGGCTTCTCGAAATAGCGGAGCTCTATGCGATTCTGTAATGGTGAGGGATCTTTCTTCACCGGTAGGTTCGGATGACGTGGGTCTTTCGGTCGGCCATGGTGACGGTTCTTTATAAAGAAACGATGGGCCGTTGTACCACTCGTGATTGGAGTCGAAGTTCGGTAGTACGTCCCTCGTAGCGGTGTCAGCTATGTTTAATTTTGTAGGTACCCAGCGCCAGTCATCCACTTTACTATGGCCCTCGATTGCTGCTATTCTGTGTGTAACGAAAGGATTATAACTTCTGGACCCCTTTACTGTCGTTTTGTTGTTGACAGGCATTGTGACATCTTTCTTTTTCCAAAGAAGCGCTGTTTCTATGTGCCCCTCTTCCAACTGACGAGTGCTGCTATTATGTGTATCTTTAGCTTTCGTCTCTGGACCGAAGTCTGGTCTTCTCCGGATGACGGTGAGAGATTCTCGCGCGAAATATTCGCGGAGTTGATCATTTATGGACTCCTAGCTCGTGTGCAGCTCATTGGCCGCGTGGACGCACTGATACGGGTCTTTTGTGTGTGCCCCGTGTAGCACCTATCCTCCTGTGAGCGAGGCGATTGGCTGGTGCGGCGGACCTCTGCGGACTTGAGTGGCTATCAGAAGTCTCCAATTGTTTTATCCTATTAGGATCCTTGGGTTGCCGGAGTCATATGTTAGTTTCTCCTTTAGGTCTTTTAAATGGTTGCACTGTGCTATATCTGCTGCGCACAGTCTGTGGCCCCAAGTTTATGCTGGCGACTGTGCGTGCTCTGAATGGCACCCTTTTTCTGTGGAGACTTTTCAGCGAAACTTTGACTCTTCGGGAGTCCGGTGAATTGAGGGTAGTGTTCCCGATAGTGGTGATCTTAAATGGGTCCAACTGCCCTGTAGCTCCGATTTGTTTGGCTATCTCTTCATCCATTAATGAGACTGTTGACCCATCAACCAGCAGGCCGTGTGTGTTTACAGCTCCCGCCGGTCCAATTACTCGAACTGGAATTACATTTAGATAGGCTTGATGCTTTGACACAGCGAATGAGTTAGCCACGGTTTCTTGAGGTTCTTTTTGTGTGACCTCTATCTTCTCCTTATTATTATGGTGGAGAAATCTATTATGTGTCGCGGTGCATCCTTTTATGCCACACTTAGTGATTTTGCATCTGTGTGTTTGATTTCTGTAGCGTAAACAGCGGAAACATAAATTACTTTGTTTTGCAATTTCCCATTTGTTATCGACATCTGCTTCTTTAAATTTATTACAGTCGGATCCGTAATGACCTACTTTTTCGCACACTCTGCATTTCGGAGACGGCTTAGGGGTAGCCGCGTGTGTTCTGTGTACTGAACGATTGTTCTGCGCTCCGTTTATAATTTCAGGAGGCGCAAATGCACTGCAAAAGCGAGCTTGTTCGGTGATAAACTCGCTGAAGGAACCGAGGTCTGGTCTAGAGTCGTATTTTTCGGTGTAGATTCTATACCACTGTGCACGTATAGAGTTTGGCAACTTGTCTGTGAGGTGTCGTAGCAGCTCTGCGTTGTCGAGGTAATGGTCTCGTTTGAGTGCTCGAAGAGTGACGACGCTTCCCCTCACTTTGCTCGCGAATGTGCAGATGTCTCTAGGCGCTTCTGTACAGCGTGGCAATCCTCGTAATTTCTCGGTTTCGGCTTGTGCAATTGAATCTGGACGCCCAAATTTTAGCTCCAGTTCTCGCATAATCTCATCTGGCTTAGCATGCCCGATGAGTTCTGAGCTGACTGTTTCCAAGGCTCTTTCTTGTAGACTTCTTCGTAGTCTTGCAGTATTTTCGATATCATTGAAGTAGCCTCGGGTTGTCTCGTAAATGGCACGGAACGAAAGCCATTCGGTATGTGCACCGCTAAAGCTTATAGCTTTCGACGCTGCGAAAGTATGCGACGATAGTGATGCACTCTCTGGTTTTGGTTTGTCAGCGAGTGTGGCTATAGCGGATGTGAGCTCCGATATGAATGGTCGGAGTCCCCTGTCTTTATTAATGACAGGTGCCTGGTTAGGCTTCTTTGGCATGGGATTCTTGGGTACATCTTCCGGATAGGGATCCTGGTAGATGAGCTCTGATACAATTGGTAGGAGCTCCCTGTCTTCATCAACCTTGGAGTCCTGGCTAATCTTCTGTGGCATAGGATCCTTGGGTACATCTTCTGGATAGGGATCCTGATAGGTGAGCTCTGGTACAATTTGTAGGAGCCCCCTGTCTTCATCAACCTTGGAGTCCTGGCTAATCTTCTGTGGCATAGGATCCTTGGGTACATCTTCTGGATAGGGATCCTGGTAGGTGAGCTCTGATACAATTGGTAGGAGCCCCCTGTCTTCATTTACCTTGGAGTCCTGGAAAGCTCACAAAAGCTTCTTCTGCGGCTCACTGAGGTCGACAACCTCCGGGGGTGGCTTTGTGACGATTGTATTAAGTGGGGCCTCCCCTCCGGTGGTGGCACCTTGAGTTGGCTATGGCTTGGCTACGGAATTTTCGAGCCAAGATCGGACGTACTTACTTTTGGAGTGACGATCTTCATCATAGTCGTCCGATTCATCTTCTTCTTCAGCCATCTGTAAGGAAATCTGTGCGAGTTCCAATTTGATTCTCAAAACTCCTTGACGAGTTTTTTTTATTGGGCCGAATAGTCTTCTTGGACTTCGTACTTTTATCGGTGTGGCCTCTCGGTGGCTCTTCGGCGCGGGTGTCTTCCCGGGCTGTTGGCGGTGATGCTCTGCGAATGTCATCGTTGCCTTCTATTTGTTGCCTCTGCTTTGGTGTACCGGTTGTAGTGGCCAGCACGGGCAGGAGTACCCCCCCTTCGCGGGGGCAAGAAGGCGCCTCAGCGCCTTCTGTAGTCGACTGTGAGCGTGGTGGCATCTGATGGCGGACGGCGTCGGTATTGTCCGACAAACCTCCTTCCAGACCGACGGTCCACGCCATGGCTCCCCTTCCTTGCGCACGAGTAATCGGCATCTTGATTCTGTAAATTCAGCAGCTTTAATACGGTAGTGACTAAGTATCCGGTTCCGAAATACAAACGGATGATGAATCCGGCTCGAAAGACCAGCGAATGCTGGATCCGGCTCGAAGTACAAACGGATGTATCCGGGTCGAAGGACCAGCGAATGTGCCGGACGGGCGTAACTCTCCGGAGTAAATGTTGTCGAAGATACTCCGCGAGTCGCTCACGTCCTACACCTATAGGTTCCAGAGGATACTTTCACTGCCGTTTCTGTGTATGCTGCTGGAGAACTGTGGACTGAGGTTCAAAATTAAAATGCACGATTTATAAATTCAAATAGCAAGGGAGTGGCCAGCGGTTCGACTGATAGATTAGTCGCGAAATTTTATAATTATTATTTATTGACCACGGTTGTTCAACTATGGTTGTTCACTATTGGTTGGTCACTATATATTTCAAAAGATTTAATTAAAATGTGCGGTAGTATTAAAAATATCTATTGGTAGTATCAAAATATCTATTGGTAGTATCAAAATATCTATTGGTAGTATCAAAATATCTATTGGTAGTATCAAAATATCTATTGGTAGTAGCTGTATTTCTAACACTACTGACTAGCAGCTAGCTAACCTACTAGTTACCACTTTTTTCAGCTAGCTAACACTTTTTCACTATATGTAACTGCGAATTTTCAGTTACCACTTTTTTCAGCTAGCTAACACTTTTTTACTATATGCAACTGCGAATTTTCAGTTACCACTTTTTTCAGCTAGCTAACACTTTTTCACTATACGTAACTATGAATTTTCAGTTACCACTTTTTTCGGATCGCTGACACTTTTTCCCTATATGCAACTGCGAATTTTCAGTTGCCACTTTTTTCGGCTATGTGTAACTGCGATTTTCAGTTACGACCTTTTTCGGCTAGCTAACACTTTTTCTAATTCACTATCACTGTTCACTATGTTCTGCTACTAGTCACTTCAGCCACTACCGGATACTACTGCTTGTCACTGGTTCTTCACACTACAACGTTCTGGGTTTCGCGCCCATAAGGTAGACTTCGGCTATACTGTATAGTGAGCCGCTTGCCATTTTCCGTTTTGTCTCTTTATTTTACAACATTTTCACTATGTAATTAGCATAAATTGCAATATTTTCTATATAATGTTAAATCTTACACTAATATGCTAAACATCATTAAATCGGCATTTTGGTCCTTTATCAGTATATGATAAAGGTTACTCAATATATTTACATTTTAAAAAGTTATTAAACGAAATGTCCCAAATTTTCATAACAAATGGGTACATTAATTCTTTAATTTTTCTATAACTACTATAAAAAAAAATTAAACGGTGTAATGCCTGCCTATATATGCAGGCATTGGTCAGTTGCTACTGCGTATATTATTTAAAACACTTACATCCAATCAAACAACATCATATACGTGGTCTTCGCGTTGAAAGCGAAGGCTAAACCTCGCAGGTCTCGCGCCAAACCGATGAGGGTCTTCTTAGCGTCTTCCGAAGCGAACAGTGGATTTTCTGGTGGACCCAGGAGTCCGATTATGCTTTCGAATGCCGCTAAAATGGAAAAAAGTAGATTAATTTTTCATCGTTCAAAGTGGCCACCTCCAGCTTGTAAGCAAGCTATAGCTCTAAGTGGCACCTGAGTTGATGAGCGCCTAATCATTTGTAAATCAGATCACATATCTCCGGCAAGTGACATTATTTTTGTGATGATTTCTTCCCTGGTGTTCGGAACTGTGGCGTACACCCTTTACTTTATACGACCCCACAAATAATAATACAAGGGTATCATCAAAGACCACGCTACTAGACCACCGCGACTGATCCACGGCGAATGGTTATTTAAATACCACAGCCGCTAAAATGTAAACAAGTAGCTTAATTTTTCATCATCATCATCATCATCATCACCATCATTAACATTATTTCAGCCCATCAGAAGGCCTATGTTCAGCAGTGGACTTGTGAATAAACAACAAAATAAACAGAACAGTGACCTGATGACAAGACCTACCAGTGAGCGGCATCATGAAGGCGTGGAACCGCTCCTCGTCTTCCCCCAGCTCCACCATCAGCAGACGTCCCAGCGCCGTGTACAGCTTGGTGCGGCAGCGCATCTCCGACGTGCCCACGCCGGAGATGCCCAGGAATGGGAAATGCTCGGCCTGGTGGTACAAACACACGGAAACTGACCGACAATCTTTCATAGAATAAGGGTGACAAACGAGCACACAGTCCAACTGATGGTAAGTGACAACTACATGTGGTTTTGGTTAAGAATCTTAATGCAGATAATATGTTGTCACCCCTGAGAACCAAGACTTATTTTCTAAAGTTATTTTAACACTAGCCAACTTTATTTTTCTATTTCTCCTGGGTTTGCCTGGTGAAGAACAGCCTTTAAGGTGAAAGCTCCAGGGTGACCCGCGAAATTCAAATTTTCTTGCGTTTTTTGGAATTTGCAGGTCAGGGTCAGGTTGTATGTTTAATAAAATATGATTCGCAACCGTAACGAGTATGTGTTTATAAAATTATTATCATTAAAATCACCAATACAACCCTCCAAGTTCGTGTAATTCCATTGTATGGCTATTTCCATAAAAACTCATTGTAAATACATATTCGTTACGGTCGCGAATAATATTTTTTAATCATACAACCTGACACTGACCTACAAATTGCAAAAAACGTAAGAAAAATTTGAAATTCGCGGGTTACCCTGGCGCTTTCACCTTAATGCATTAAGTCCGCCTATTGTTAATTCTATTTTAAAGTGTCTTACAACAAACATTAAATTAATTAAAAAAAAACATTTAACGCGCTGTAACAATATCCACTACCATGATATAGTCACGTCAGCGTCGTAAGAGACGGCAGCAGCGTCTTTCTAATAATTACAAAAAATAAAAAATAAAAAGAACATGTGTGCAGTTCACACACGGTAGAAGTGAAACGTTCAGAAAAGTATACCAAAATAATAGGAAACATTGTATATTGTATACTATCTCATTCTCTCACAAGCCAAAATAGTTTAGATGTATATGTTTGTCTCCTTTTAGAGTTATCGAGTTTCAAATCACAACAATTCTAAAAAGTTTCCCCTTTAAAAACATGTGTGCAGTTCACGCGCGGTAGAAGTGAAACTATGAAATGAAATGAAATATTAAATACATATTTCACAGCAAATATATTGTCTAATATAATAATTTTCTACTACAAGTGCGGCATGTAATATAAGATTTTTATAAATATAGAGTTATGTTAAGACATATCTCTATATATAAAACATCAATTGCAAATGAAACGAATATTTTTTATAGGATAGGGGTGACAAACAAGCACACAGTCCACATGATAGTAAGTGGTTGCTGTTACCCATAGACATTTAGGTTTATCCTCAATAAAGAATCAAAATTCAGATGCGTTGTCACCCGTGAGGACTAAAATAGAATGCCTCTTTTCCAGTAAAATGGTTCTGCAGTTGTCTACACTCTCCATACGAAACACATCAGCATTAATCGGCTATTTTACGCTGGTATTCTGTGAGAGCGTGGTCTTCCCCGGTCGAGCCGACCCATTCGGGCTACAACTATACTACTAATATAGCTGCAGCGTGGCTCTACCACGTGTGTTCTTGTGTGTGTTCGAGTAAGTCCCTAAATGGTTTAGATTCAAGAGGAAGGCGCTGTTGTCGAGATCCTGCCCCGTGGAGAGAAATCACAAGAGTGAAGTCGCGGCAGATCGCTAGTAGAGCCTAAATTTGTGTAATAAATAAAAAAAAATTAATTTCTTTCCAGTAAAATTGCTCCATCTACTTCATTCTACAGGTAGTCATTTTATCTAACAAAAATTGATTTACTCTCAAGATATAGTAGACGCTAGATGGCCTATCCACGGCTAATTTAATGTCTATTTCATTCTCTCGCAGGCTAAATCCTATATGTTTGTCTCTTTCTGGTGTCACTTTGAGTTTCAAAAATCTACTGGCGTTTAAAAATGAGGTATCTTAGAGAACTAGCTGACCACTCACAGTGTGATGCGTCAACATGAACTGCACTTCCTCCAGCTTCACCAGCTTCCTCACGCACGCGTAGCCGCCGCTCAAGTCGCTCAACAGACCGAGCGTCTTCGATATGATCTGCTCCGAACTGCCCCAGTACTTCAGATTTGTGATTCTGCAAAGTGATCAACTGAGTAATAAACATAATTGTAAAAATTAAAGTGCAGTGGCGATGTAGGAATATCCACTACCTCATATCATCCCGTGGGTGACGTAAGAGGCGACAGAGGGAAGCAAATCTGGAGATGGGCAGCGGCGTCTTCCTAATAACGACTAATATTTAAAAAAAACTGCGGTTGTCAACCCGCTTGCTAAGCGTGGCAACTATTTCATATATCCCCCCCCTATGAGGCCATAGATTGCCCCAACAGTGGACTTCAATATGCTGTAATGGATGGACGTATAGAAAATAATCTACCAGGAGCACATGACCCACTGAGAGGTGAAATTTTCAAATCAACAGTAACATTACAACTATGGCAAATATCCCCCCTAAGAGGCAATCTATGGGGAGGCCTATGTTCAGCAGTGGACTTTAATTGGCTGTAGTGGATGGATGTATAGAAGACAATCTACCAGGAGCGCATGAACCACTGAGAGGTGAAATTTTCAAATCAACAGTAACATTACAACTATGGCAAATATTCATCCCCCTATGAGGCAATCTATGGGGGAGGCCTCTGTTCAGCAGTGGACTTTAATTGGCTGTAGTGGATGGATGTATAGAAGATAATCTACCAGGAGCGCATGAACCACTGAGAGGTGAAATTTTCAAATCAACAGTAACATTACAACTATGGCAAATATCCATCCCCCTATGAGGCAATCTATGGAGGAGGCCTCTGTTCAGCAGTGGACTTTAATTGGCTGTAGTGGATGGATGTATAGAAGACAATCTACCAGGAGCGCATGAACCACTGAGAGGTGAAATTTTCAAATCAACAGTAACATTACAACTATGGAAAATATCCTATGAGCCAATCTATGAAGGAGGGCTACGTTTAGCAGTGGACTTTAATAGTCTTTAACGGTAACGGTAACGGTCAGACATTAAAAACCATTTTAAAAAGAAATTCTATCTGTCAATCTGTCCGACTGTCTGTCTGAAGTTAGTATTAAATAAAATTGTTTGTCTTTGACACTCACATCTTCCTCATGAGAACGCTGAGCAGCTGGCTCTCGTCGTTCAGGCCCAGTACTTCAGACAGGCGACGGTACACTTTGCTGTTCTTCTGCACCTGGTCCCCCACGTATATCTTGCGGAACTGCTCGAAGAACGACATCATAGCAAGCTCCAGCTTCTCGCAGCCGCCCTGAAATTAATGCGGGAAAATATAAAAACTATTTTATTTTAAAGTCACAAACGATCACACAGTTAGTAGATGTGTGTGTGTAGATGTGCCAGTAAAAAAGGTCTCCGGTTCTCTACATTCACCATACGAAACACAGTTTTAACGCTACTTTTTGTGAGTGTCTTAAAAGGCGACATAGAGAAACTGAATCAGGAGATGGGCAGCTGCGTCGTCCTAATAACATCTAGAAAATAAAAAGCTGCGGTTGCCAAACCGCATGCCAAGTTTGGCAACTATGGCAAAACATCTATAAAGGCAACTATGGGGGAAGTCTCTGTTCACCAGTGGTCGGTCTTCTGTCAGCCTGTAATGAATGTATGAGCTAATGAATGGAACATACCCTCGACAGTCTGGAGTCCGTGAGGTCCATGAGTTGAAGCACCCGGCAGACCAGCTCCCCGTCCATCGCGTCGTTCTCGTCGCACGTTATCACTGACGCTCTGCCGCCAATAGCTGCACCGATTATGTACACCAACCACGTCAGTTGTCCTGGAAGAAAAAAGCTAGTTATTATTTACTAAACAGTATAGAGCCCACGCTGCAATATATATATGCAATATATATGCATAATAGTTGTAGCACGAATGTGTCTGCTCGTACGGAGTAGGACCACGCTCTCACAGAATACCATCGTGAAATAGCAGCTCAATGCTGCTGTGTTTCGTATGGTGAGTGTATAGAATTTAATCCTCAGAGGTGACAATGCTGTGGATAAGAGACAAGGACTGTGCACTTGTTTGTCATCCTTATTATACTAGCTGCTCGCCGAGACTTCGCCCACGTGTTATTCGGTGTTTTAATTTTTATGCGCGGAGCCCTTATTCTTTTTCTAAAATAAAGGTAGCCTATGTTACTCCTTGTGACATCAGCTATCTGCCAGTGAAAATCCCGTCAAAATCGGTCCATCCGTTTCGGAGATTAGCCGGAACAAACAGACAGACAGACAGACGGACGAACAGACAGACAGACAGACAAAAACTTTAAAAATTGTATTTTTGTTATTAGTACCGCATATACTTTCATATGCATTTAGAAAAAAGCTGTAATTTTGACATTACAACAAACATTTCAATTTTATTTATTTGTATAGATAAAAAAAAACATGATAGTAAGCGCTTATCAAGCACCTTGTACTTGAATGAAGAAGTGAGTATTAGTGAAAGCCTTAGGATTTTACATTCATATTATCATTTGTACACTTAAATCGAGGAGGTACTCAATTCGACCGTATGTTCTTGTATATATGTTTTTTATGTGTGTTACCTTACAAATTTTTTCTGGATGAACCTATTTCGATAATTTTTTTATTTGAAAGCTGGTGCTTCTCATGTGATCCCATATAAATTTGATCAAGGTCTGACGAACAGTTGTCGAGTTATCCTCAATAATTTAATTGAAGTCGAAATTTTTAATTTTGCCACTTGTGTTTATTCCAAAATTTTTGGTTTGTGGTTTAAGAAATTTATTCTCATTAAGAATACAAAATTCACTTATCATGAGAACATAAAAACTTATAAGTTATAACAATATCTGGGGAAACGCAGAGGTTGGGGATACATTAAAAAAACAATTAAAAAAGGTCACAGCGTCGGACATAGATGCAATCACAGATATAAAGTTGAACTATGCTCACCAAGTTAGAAGAAGTGGCTTGAGATACATATTTATTAATTCAAAAAAACTAAATTTCCAGTGAAAAAACATAACGCTGCAGCTATTGTGCTCTTGTGATATCTATACAAAAAATTGAAGTGTCTGTTTGTAACGTCAAAATAACAGCTTTTCACTAAATGCATTTGAAAAAATATATGGTACTTATAGCAAAAACACATTTTTCTTTTTTTTTTGTCTGTTTGTCTGTTTATTTGTTCCGGCTAATCTCCGAAACAGCTAGACCGATTTTGATGAGACTTTCACTGCCAGACAGATGATGTTATAAGGAGTAACTTAGGCTACTTTTGTTTTAGAAAAAGAATTAGGGTACCGCGCAAAAAAAATGGAAAACCTAAGTTACACGCGGGCGAAGTCGCGGGGTACAGCTAGTTATTAATAAACGTGTTTTAAAAAAGACGTATTTCATTCTTTCTTAATAAAGTACACCTCTATATGTTAATGTCCACCAGACTGAACTTCTGTCACGGTGGCTAATCTTAAAAGAGATTAGTTATCTGTGAAGGATAGGATTATATTGCTTGAGTGTACGCACAAGCACAAGTGTACTCGTTATTGCCTCAATCTCACAGTCTGATGGAACGGTTATCTGACCGGAGAGAGATCAAGTGCAGGACCAACGGCGTTACGTGCTTTCCGAAGCAGGAGTTGACATAATCTCTACTGGGAATTTTTTGATAGAAAAACACAATACCTGATATTGGTGCGACTAGCAGTTCTATTATGTAATAACCGACTGAGAATGAGAGCTTCCGTACCATCGTAAAACACGTTTATGCTGCACATGCTGCACAGGCATACCTTGCAGCACGGGCAGCTGGTGTGCGCGCTGCTCCACGCTGTACTCGGCGGCCGCGCGGTCGAAGTGCGCCACCAGCAGCTGGCACGTCTTGGCGTACTCGCAGCGCCCGATCACCGACAGCTGCTCCAGCTGCTGCTGCACGGTGCCCGTGTCGTCCAGCGGGTCCTCCAGACCCTCCCTGGGGACAACACCCACACTTTCAATACCGTTACAGCCTACTAAGTCCACCGCTGAACAGGAAGGAGGGGGAATATTTTAACCATGGTTGCCACCGTGCTTGGCAAACAGGATGACAACCGAAGTTTATTTTTATTTTTAGTGGTTATTAGAAAAACACTCTTGACCATCTCCTCATTTGTTTCCCTCTGTCGCCTCTTACGACACCCACAGGATGATGATATCGGGAAGTGGTTATCCTTACACGGCCACTACACAGTAATTTTAATCTATATATTAATATTATAAAAGAAGAGTGCGAATTTTGTGAGTTTGTATATATGTGGAAGGTAAACCCGGGAACCACTGTATCTATTTAAAAAAATCTTTCACCATTTGAAAGATAGATTAGTCCAAATGGACATAGACTATATATATATATATATATATCTATATATATCTATATATATATATATATATATATATATATATATATATATTCTAAATATACACATATGACCTCTAAAATGACATTCGTTAACTAAGTCGTAAAAAGTCATACCTCTTAGATTATCATAGCGTGCAATGAGTAAATAAAGATACACAAAAAATAGTGAATAATCCCTCTTAGAAAGTTCTAAAAACAAGTCCTATCTTCTAAAGATAACTCACAGTAACCATTTTTTACTGAGAGAACGGGGATATCAGCACGTAAGAACCATAATATAGATAATTCTTTAACCCGGGCATAGCCGAAGCCCACCACTAAATCAATATACAAATATTATATATATTTACAAGGAAAGTGTTTGTCTGTATATCCAGCCTTTTCTCCATGACCAGCCATTGCCACCCACTTGTGGTTGCAGTGATAGAAGGTGAGCACTTGTAAGGGAGTTTGGTTGCTGTGGGTGAAAGTGGGTGGATGTGGGTGGTAAAAATGTGTAATGAGATACACTTCTATCCTTTCTAACACATAGTACGAATCATATAAGCTCAAGACTGTGCTGAATGGTGCAAATTACGATCGTGCGTGATAATGTCGAAAACTTTTCTACAATATTTCAGATTTTTCCAGAATGTTCTAGAATATTCTAGGATATTTTACAACTTTTAAAAGGAACTATGAAAATGAGTGATTGTAGTTGATCCTGAATGTTCTAAATTGTTCTCAAAATTCCACGAATGATCTAAGAAATCATATGTTCAAACACTGAACATTATTAATAAAGAATAATTGCTATCGGTCTATAATATTCTAAATATTTTTAGATTGATCAAGAAAGCTCTAAAAATATACTGAAATGTTCAATATTATTTATACAAATAAATCAAATTGAAGTGTCTGTTTGTAATGTCAAATAAACAGCGTTTTTCTAAATGTATATGAAAGTATATTATACCGTACTTATAACAAAATTACATCTATACAAATAAATAAAATTGAAGTGTCTGTTTGTAATGTCAATAAAACAGCTTAATCTGGGGAATTCCGTCATATATCCCAAAAATTATTAAAAAATAATTATTATCGGTCTAGAATATTCCAGATTATAAATAACCTATACGTGGTAGAGCCATGCTGCAGCTATATTAACAGTATAGTTATAGCACGAATGGGTCGGCTCGACCGGGGAAGAACCACGCTCTCACAGAATACTAGCGTAAAATAGCAGCTTAATGCTGCTGTGTTTCGTATGGTGAGTGTAGAGAACCGGAGACCCATTTTACTGGAAAAAAGGCATTCCATCTTAGTGATGGAATGCCTTTTTTCCAGTAGTATACTTAGATGTGGATTTCTATGGGCCACAGCAACCACTTACCATCAGGTGGACTGTGTGCTCGTTTGTCACCCTCTCCTATAAAAAAAAACTACCTAAAACAAAACATGACAAAAAAAAGATTATTAATTTTGCGTATATTCGACGATTTCATTTTAATATTTAAAAAAACAACTTCAAAACTATAGGACCTAGGACAATAAATCAAGTGTTTTTTAGATATTAATTCCCTCTAATTAATTAATATTAGATTAAATTACCGACATTTCTAGTACTGTGTAGCACCTATGGTCACGGAGCAACTGAGGTCATAATATCCTGATATCACATTTAACCAAGGCTACCTTTGTAAAACATAAATAGTTGCTTGTTCATACCTGATAACAACCGCAACAGAGTCGAGCCTGGAGTTGATGTAGGCAGCGGTGATACCTGGCGCATATGTCTCCAGCTGATGGGGCTCCGTCGCCTTTACGTACGGCACGGAGGCCACCATGCGTTGCCATAGCGACAGGAGATAGTGGACCGAATTCGGAGCAAACTGCCACATCTGTAAACAATGAGTTTGCCATGAAAATTTGTACTTTTATAATAGGTATTGTAATATGCTTAGAACAACAAAAAGAGATAGAAATATTAGTGACAATAAAACCTTCAAATTTTATTTTATTTTTGAATACAGGTAATACAGAATTCGCTGCATTCAATCCTTAGGTATACAATTATCTCGGTTAGAAGTAAAATCTACTATACTAGAACAATTGAATTATTTCATTATATTATTTATATTGTAATTATATTATATTAGAACACTTTAAATAAATTGTATTTTCATTTAATATACAATGATGTGACTCGTTGAGTGACGCATACGTCTTTTGTCTTTATTTTTTTCATCAACTCGTAAAAGTGTACTGCTGGACGCACACATATGCACCTACAGTTATGTTGCTGGTTGCAAATGATTTTAGATGCTTATGTGTGCGTGAGTGTGTTCTTACAATATATTTCGGCGGTACTTGAAATATATACAGTGTTCTGTCTGTCTTTTAATATTGGTCTAAGGTAAAAAGTCATAAGTACAAGTATATATGTGTTATTATTCTAAGGCCAATGTCAAACAGTTAATAGTCTATGGTCAAACCTCGCAAACAATCACACAAGATATTATCACTGAAGAATTTTAATTTTTAACCAACAAAATGTTTACCTTGAAAAATAAATTTGCTCTATTTTCGGAATATTTTAGGAATTTGAAATAAAACTTAATTGCATAAATAAATTTTAACTTTAACTCTAAACGTGGAAAGGGATTTCACTTCAACTCCTCACCTGAAGACTCTGGACGGTGAACTTGGCGACGAGCTCGATGAGACGCGGGTAGTTCTCAACCATGACCAGCTCGCCCAGCTGGTAGTTGGACTTGAGTCGCGCTAGAAGCCGACAGAACTCATGGTAGTTCGCCGGCTCTGAAAGACCCTGGAACACCAGAAATTACATAATTTACACAGTAGAAATTATATTTTATACGTGAAAGAGCTACGCTGCGGCTGTTACGGACGGCAAGGGGAGCCGCCGCCCCGTCGCCCCTTCACACCCCGTTGCGCGTGGCGCACCCAGCTCACCGGCAGCAGATCACGCGATGTCGCCGACCAATCAACGTGCAACACACCTTATAAGAACACGCTCGTACCGAGTCACCCTCCACGGGAATATAAGAAGGAAGGTTTGGGCTCAGAGTCATTCAATACGACTACGACACTCAAGAAATAAGAATCAAGAAAACAGTCAAGACTCCATAGAAGACTCCCTCCTGTGAATAATAGTAGTTGTTATTGCCGCTTGTAAATAGTGTAATATATAATCATCAAGAGTACCATCTTATCTTCCATAAACGTCCCTAGTATAGTTCACCCTAACACACAGTAAATAAATAACATAAAATCACATACAGTCCACTGCAGTCCCTTACAGCGGCTATACGAGGGCGGCACTGAAAATTTCGGAAATCAAGGAAGTGACACAACATTACTATTTAAAAATGTATTTATTGCTTTTCGAAGTATTCTCCGTCAAATTTGACACATTTTTCCATACGATGGAACCAACCATTGAAGCAACCATTCCATTCGGAAGTTGGGGTCTCCAAAATGGCCGTTTTGTAGGCGTCCACAGCTTCTTCAGGTGATGAAAATCTCTGTCCACGCAATTTATTCTTTATTTTAGGGAAAGTATAGAAATCATTAGGGCTTAGGTCGGGGCTGTACGGCGGATGGTCTAATAATTCTATGTTTTCTTGCTCTAAAAACTCTTTTGTTCTGTGTGCGGTGTGAGAACTCGCATTGTCGTGATGGAGGATGATGCGGCGGTTGCAGTTCTCTTTACGGAGTTCAGAAACGACCTGTGGCAAATAAATGCTAGCATACCATTCTGCATTAACCGTTCTTTGTCCCTCAAGAGGAATAGTCGTAACATGGCCGGTTTTGGAGACAAACGTGGCCACCACTTTTTTGGCAACACTCCGTGAACGAACAATTTTTGTTGGCTTTAACTCATTTTCGAACACCCAAACTATATCCAGGATTCGTCACCTGATACGATGTTGGATACAGCACTTGAGGATCCTGCGTGGAATCTTTCGAGAGTTCTGACGCACCAAGTAACGCGAGCCGCTTTTTGCTCTTCACAGAGCGAATGCGGTATCCATCAGGAAAACAACTTTTTTACACCTAATTGTTCATGCAAGATTATTTGTATTTGACTCATGCCAATGTCTAAAGTTGCCTGAATTTCGCGGTATGTCACATGTCAATCTTCCTCAATCAGCTTACGCACAGCATCAACGTTTTCTTGGGTGACTGCAGTTTTTGGACGACCTTGACGGGGATCATCACTGAGCTTGACACGTCCACGTTGAAATTCAGCAAACCAGCGATAAATTGTGGTTTTGGATGGGGCTTCATCACCAAATGCAGAAATCATCCAATCAACACACTTTTTTGTGTTAAACCACTTCGAAAGTCATAATAAATCATCGCTCTTGAATTTTCTCGAGTCAATTCCATTTTCTCAACGACTAAACAAGTTTGACAAAACCTTGTGACAAGACCGAGAATCTTTTTTTAAATAAATAAATGGTATACGATTTTTAAAACCAAGGAGTTTTCAATGAAAAAGATTTTAATATGACATAAACAGTGGAAATATTCTATTCCCGATACTTTTAGTGCAGCCCTCGTATTATGGTTATAGCACGAATGGGTTGGCCCAACCGGGGAATAACCACGCTGTGACAGAATACCAGCGTGAAATAGCAGCTTCATGCTGCTGTGTTTCGTAGGGTGAGTTGTGAGAACCGGAGACCCTTTTTACTGGAAACGAGGCATTCCATGTTAGTTTAAGGAGTGATAACGCATCTGCATCTTGATTCTTAATCGAAAATGAATGTAAACGTGTCACCACATCACCACAGTATCCACTTACCATCAGGTGGACTGTGTGCTGTTGAGGTTGTGGTTGCTGAAGAGGCTGCGGCGCACGGACGTCAGCTGCACCAGCTGCACCAGTTGCATGGCTACACTTGGCAACACTCGTGCACACTTGGTACCTGCGTGTTGTCCAGTATGCGGAGCACGCCGGCCGCGAGGCGGTCGAGGAACTTGGCGCGCTCGCTGTTGCTGAAGAGGCTGCGGCGCACGGACGCCAGCTGCACCAGGCAGGCCAGCGCCAGCGCCGACAGCGCGCCGGCGGTGCTCGACTGCAGCTCGAAGAACAGCTCCAGCGTCGCCGGCTCCAGGAACGTCGGCCGCCACGACGTCGGGATCTGTCCACACAAGCCATCTTAGAGTCGACTAATGGCCAAGTACTCAAACGTTACTCAATTTTAAGTGTCGTGGTGTCACAATCACTTTGACTTAGGCAGCATGAGACTTAACGGTATCTTAAAATTGAAAAGGTCAGGAACAGGTCCAAGATAATAACTAACGGCTCATCATTGTGGACTAAGTATTATCATAACGGACCGTTTTTGAGTGGACTAAGTATTATCATAAGTCTACGATAAAAACTAACGGGTCATATATGAGAGGAGTATGTGTTATAATAAGGCCAAGGTAACAACTAACAGGTCATCTTTGAGTGGACTAAGTATTATCATAAGCCCAAGGTAACAACTAACAGGTCATCTTTGAGTGGACTAAGTATTATCATAATACCAAGGTAACAACTAACAGATCATCTTTGAGTGGACTAAGTATTATCATAACGGATCGTCTTTGAGTGGAGTAAGTATTATCATAAGCCCAAGGTAACAACTAACAGGTCATCTTTGAGCGGACTAAGTATTATCATAAGTCCACGATAAAAACTAACGGGTCATATATGAGTGGAGTATGTATTATCATAAGCCCAAGGTAACAACTAACGGGTCATCTTTGAGTGGACAATGTATTATCATAGGCCCAAGGTAACGACTAACAGGTCATCTTTGTGGACTAAGTATTATCATAACGGATCGTCTTTGAGTGGACTAAGCATTATCATAAGTCCACGATAAAAACTAACGGGTCATATATGAGTGGATTATGTATTATAATAAGGCCAAGGTAACAACTAACAGGTCATCTTTGAGTAGACTAAGTATTATCATAAGTCCACGATAAAAACTAACGGGTCATATATGAGTGGATTATGTATTATAATAAGGCCAAGGTAACAACTAACAGGTCATCTTTGAGTAGACTAAGTATTATCATAAGTCCAAGGTAACAACTACAATGTCGTCTACATAGTAATGTTGAAAATCAAACGCAAGTTGCTCGAGTACTATGCGTTTCAAATAAAAATAGGATTGACCTGGCACCATAGTGTGACGTCATAGCTGTCAATTCAAACCAGTTAGGTACGATGAGCAAAACAGATATTTAAGAAATAATATTTATTTAAAAAAGACCCATGAACGAAAAAGTATGAATCTGAATTTAGCATTTCGATTTCGCTCATCTCTGCAACACTGTCTGAGTAGTATCATTATCGTCACTGATGCTTTCTCTTATAAAAATAGAACATGGATTTATGTAGGTATTTAAAATATTCCACCGACTAGTATCATTATTTTAAATTAATTTATAAAAGTAATTATGAATTCAACAGATTTGATAATAATAGGGCTCAGTTAAATTAAGTAAAAAACAAAAAGGTTATTAATATGCAAATTAAATTTCTTCGCAAACCGTACTTTTCAAGTGACATTTGATAGATCGCGGTCATTCGAGGTCATTGACGTTTCTATTCTCATTTGAATCGCATTACTGTATAATTTAAAATTAAAAATTTTGTACAACCGACTTCAATATAAATTATTAAGAATAACTCAAAAACTGTTGGTCAGACCTTGATCAAATTTATATGGGACCACATGAGAAGCACCAGCTTTCAAATAAAAAAAGAATAATCGAAATCGGTTCACCCAGTAAAAAGTTATGAGGAAACACACAGTTGAATTTAATACCGGCTCCTTTTTGAAGTCGGTAGAAAATTAATTGTTCCACTACCTGTGGGTATCGTAAGAGAGGGACAAAGTGAAAAGAAACAAGAGATGGGCAGTAGCACATTTCTGATAACATCTCAAAGGAACTAAAATTACTTCATAAACAATAGAAAAAACTTTAAAACAAAGTAATAGCCTACTTGAAAAAATTAAAAAAAATTAAAAAAAAATTTAAACGCGGTAGAGCCATGCTGCAGCTATATTAGTAGTACAGTTGTAGCTCGAATGGGTCGGCTCGACCGGGGAAGGACCACGCTCTCACAGAATACCAGTGTAAAATGGCAGCTTAACACTGCTGTGTTTCGTATGGTGAGTGTAGAGAACTGGAGACCCATTTTACTGGAAAAGAGGCATTCCATCTTAGTCCTCACGGCTGACAATGCATCTGCATTTTGATTCGCAAACGAAGATAGATGTAGATGTCTATGGACCACAGCAACCACTTACCATCAGGTGGACTGTGTGCTCGTTTGTCACCCTTATTCTATATAAAAAAAAGATACCATTCATGTGTCTCTCCCTGAAACCACGTACCTATGTCACAATTAATAATAATAATATAAATAATTTATTTGCCAGAAATATGGTGGTTACAGACATTATAATTAAAGATAGTACAAGCACATTTCGCCAGTGGCATGCAAATACATAATTTTTTTAAATGTACATGATTCTATTAAAAAAAAATATGTTTAATTATAATTTTATGATAAATTCAAGATTAAAAACTCTTAATACACATAACATGGATGTCAATAATTAATAAAGAAAAAAGTTGAAAAAATCCTAAATTAAAAATTCATATTATATCAAATTAAAAAAAAATCAAGTATACATGTCAATAGTTATTAATTTTATATACATTTATTTAGTCAATTTTACACGAAATGTCTTATAAAATACTTATCATTTTGGTTTATAACAATAAAAATCATCTAGAGTATAAAAACAATTTAGGATGAGATATTGTTTTAGTTTCTTTTGAAAATGTTTTAATGGAAGTTCTCAAATTTCAACAGGAAAGTTATTATATACATTTATGCACATAATGGGACAATTTTTCTGGAAAAAGGCAGTTTTACATAATCTAAAATTTAATCTTGTTACGTCTCTATGTAGGAAACTTTTATCTGTATTATCAACACACCTCTGAAATAAATGTGGATATTTTTTTACGAAAGTTCCGATTTCATACACGTACATGGAACACAGAGTCATAATTTTTAACTGCTTAAAGAGTGGTCTACAAGAATCGAAAGGTCCACATCCACAGATTGCCCTTATACATTTCTTTTGCATTACAAATGCTCTCTTAAAAATACTTGAACTGCCCCAGATCAAAAGCCCATACCGTAACACCGACGCTACATATCCATGATATGCTGTGATAGCGGCTTCTTTACTTATTAAGTTACTAAGTCTTCTGAGCGCATAAACGAATTTATTTAACTTGTCACACATTAAATTTATGTGATTTTCCCAACTACAGTGCTGGTCCAAGATAAGGCCGAGAAATTTTATATCAGCAACCTTTTCAATTTCTTTGCTATGACTCATTATTTTCATTGTAGGAATATTTGCGCGGTTTGTACAAAATGTGATATATTTAGTTTTAAGTAGATTCGGACATAAATTATTACTTTCGAGCCAATTTACTATAGATATGACGGTACTGTTAACTTTGAGTTCATAATCTAAAGCTTTTCTTTACCTGTTATTATAACTGATATATCGTCGGCATATAAAGTACAATGTTGATCGATTGCCAGTGGAAGGTCATTAATATACAAAATAAAAAGTAAAGGACCAAGAATTGTACCCTGTGGCACACCTATTGTGGTGGATCACACATAACTTTCAGTTAGAGTTATGTGTGATTCGTTCATTAAATTCATTTATTCTAGCTATTTGAACGCATTGGGTTCTGTTATTTAAATAGGATTTTATCCACTGGAATGCAAGCCCTCTTATGCCATATTTTTGAATTTTATTAAGCAAAACCTTATGATCTACAAAATCGAATGCTTTACTCATATCGAAAAAGACACCAGTAACTTTCATACCTTTGTCAATGTTTTCCGTTATGTGCTGAATTAGTGTGTAATCAGCTATTGTTGTTGATTTTTCTTTTTGAAAACCGTTTTGTTCCTCCCGTACTATTTTATATTTATCTAGGAAACTATTAAGTCTAGTATGCATGGCTTTTTCAAATATTTTAGCTAATATTGGGATAAGAGCAATAGGTCTATAGTTATTAACTTCTTTTTTGTCGCCTGCTTTATGGATTGGTTTAATTACAGAGATTTTAAGTTTGTTTGGAAATATTCCGTATTCAAATGATATATTAATAATATAAGAAAGAACTGGAGATATCAAATCAGCACACGACTTTAAGATTTTCGTAGAAATTCCATCAAAACCCACCGAATTTGTATCATTTAGTCCTTGTATAATTTTTTTAATTTCATTAACGGAGCAGGGTTGCAAAAATATACTGTTATTTATAAGATTTAACTTTTTTAATGAAAAAAAAAATTATCTTTTTGATTCGTTCTATTTGTCAAATTTGTAAAGAAGCTGTTAAAGATATTTGCGATTTCTTGGGGATCCTGAATCAATTTTTCGTTATTGTAAATCGAATTAATGTCTAAATTTCTCCGTAAATCATTTGAGGACTCTTTGATTAGGTTCCAAGTTGCTTTACACTTATTTTTAGCTTTATTAATAATATTATTGTTTGCGTTATTTTTGGCTTTAATGATACAAGATTTTAAAATTTTGCTATTAGTCCTGACTTGTACCATACTACTATTTTTTTTATTTAAAAAAAATAAGCACAGTAATTTTCTTTTTGTGCGTCAGGATTTTTTAATTCCTTTTGTAATCCATTTTGTTGTGGAATTTAATTTTTTTATTTTTATTCTTAATGTAGGTAAGCAGAGATCATAAAACATTGTTAAAGTTTATGAAAGTTATTAAATGCGGAGTTAACATCCGTGTCTTCAATTACATCATTCCATGAGATACTGGAAAGACACTGTCTAAATTTCATAATATATTCCTTGTTGTAATCTCTGATAAATATAAAAAATGTGGTTTTGGTTTATGGGTTCAAATTGTTGGTACGAATTCTAACGTTTGTGCTGTGTCATGGTCTGACAAATGTAGCACATGTGTTTTGCCTACTGCATTTGTTATATTCCTTACAATGTGGTCTAAGCACGATACATTACGAGTAGGGCCTAATATATGTGATTTTAAATTATAATTTGCTAAAAGCCCATTTAATTCTATTGATAACTTATTCTTTACAAGAGAATTAATATTGAAATCACCCGCTATAACGATTTTTTAATTTTTTAAGTGGTATAATTTATTTAATAATACTTGTAATTTATTAAAGAATATAAATGCATTCGAATTTGGTGTTCTATAAATACATATTATAATACAATTCTAATGTGGTATTTCTACACCACAACACTCAAAAGATTTTTCTACTGATAATTCATTACAAAAATGTATAACATTAAAATCATAGTGTTTTTTTACCAGAATACAAACACCGCCACGAGATTCTCTTGATCTACCATAGGAACTAGCTACTCGAAAATCTTTCAAATTGATGTTATGTTAAAAGTTTCAGTTAAACAAAGTACATTTAAATATATGTTAGACTCCAGAAAGTTCATTAATACATATTTCTAACATTAATAATTTGTTGAGAAGTCCGGCAATATTTTGATGAAAAATTATAACTTTATTACTTAATTCATTAAAATTAACGAAAGCAATTAGTATCGTTTTAAGTTGGTATCATGTACAGATTACGGTGTGTGATATTTGTTTTTATTAAATTTTTTTTAAATAATACGCTATTGTCCCCTTTTTTATTACATTGTGTTCTTTAAATTGGTGGCTTATGTTTGTTATTTGTTTTTTTTTTTTGAATATAATGTGTTTTGCATTTTAATAAAATAATAGTACCCGGTTTGTAAACTGTTGGCGAGATGGTTTCCAATCTTTGGGGCTTTAAAAACATATTTGAATAATCTTTTGAGTCTATTAACAAATTGATTTTATAACAAAATTTGTTAAAATATTGTTTTTTACTTAGTTGTCTATTTGGTAAATATATAAAATTACAATTATTTTACTTAATTGTATGGTTTAATTTAACTGTATTAAGATAATTGTTATTATTTATGCTTAATGGTATAACATTTAAATTACGCATACTCCTTAAAGCAGATGAAAGTTCAATACTAAATTTTGTGGGATTTGTGTCATTTTCACCAACACACAATACAACATAGTTTGATTCGTTCGGCTGAAGTTTATAATAAGCCTTTAAAATTTCTTCTGCCGTCGCATAAGGCTTAGTAATAGATGAGACATTATATTTGTTGTATGTTGATTGTTGTCTTGAAATTGTTAAATGTGATGAAAGCCCGACTTTCAAAATTATTTTTTAGTTCCTTATTCGTCGTACGTTGGTTTAAAGTATAAATTTTGGTACGGGTAGTGTTATCTTGTGATAACAATTGGGACTTAATACATTTATTGTCAATGTTTTTGTAAGGATTGTTTTTGAATTTGGCTACGGGTTTGTGTTTGTTTACTTTGTATTAAATTATCATTTCTTATCTGTAATTCCCGGAAACTTGTATTAAGGTCATCTAGTGAGTTATCTATAAAATCCTTGCGTAATTGCCTTTTTAGAATTTTTTTCGTTGAGTTATATTTTTTAATGCTCGTATTAGATTCGGTAGCAAGCTTTTTGAGGTTTTCTATAGTTTTTTGCTGATCTTTTTTCTTAGTTAAGTTATGTATTTCATAATTTAAGTTATCAATTTCACCGTTAGCACTGTCTAGTTTCTTCTGCAAGTTCTTTATTTCTTCCCTTAATTCGTCTGTATCACTATCATATCCAATCGATAAATCGGGTAAGCTATGCCTTCTAAATTCTGTTCTAAAAGAAGAATCGCTAGAATCATTTGTCCTGCGTTTACGAATTGTGATATTGTCAATTTTCATTTTTCGTTTTTTTTTTTTTGCAGAAGTTAATAATATTTTAAATAAAATTTAAATTTAATGTTTTGGAGAGTAACTGTTTCAGTTATTCTCATAAACAAATACGAAAAAGTTTCTTTTCCTTACAAATTTGGTTTTGGTATTTTATAGACTCATAGACGCTACAATCAAAATATGCTCGCGTGGTGGTTTTCGTATAAATTCTCCTCGCACGCGATTCACTTTTTCAGGAATCGTTACAGACGTTGAAAGACCAGGTCTAGACTCATTTCCAACCGGTCCCGTCTCTCTGAACTTCCGTGCCCATGCCCATGTTAATTGGTTCGAAGGGCCATCCTTTATTTTGCGATTATCAAACTGCGAACTAAAACGACGCCTTGCTACGTTCACCGAATCATTATTTGCGAAATAGGCCTCAGTGATGCGTTCCCGTCCACTGAATAATCCTCTATGGCTACTAAATAATCCGCGACATTCGCGCGTCGAACGATTTCTCATTCCTCTCATTGCCGCGACTCCTGTTCCCGTAAAGCCGATTAAGGTCTTTTTGGATACGATCTGACGAATCTAAATCTTGTGCCCACAGTCTCGCAATTGAGCTATATAAGTCGCTAAGTCTATTGCTGAATTTACGTAATAAATCCTTGTTTATTTTATTTACTAATGTGTGATGTGAGTAGTAGTGCTCTAAATTTATGCCGCTTCACTTTTAAATGTTTTAGCATACCTTTTATCTTCTTTAGAAACATATTTTCATTTTTTTTTTGCCTTTTTGCCTTCATGAATAGTTCAAATGGTTTAGGTGCACAATTTTTTGCACTGGTTTTATATATAATGCATTAATTTAAGATGACGTCACTACAAATTTTAAAAGTATTCATTTCACAAAATTTGTCACTAGTTGCTTTAAGATATACTTAGGATGTTGAAGTATGTACAGAATACAAAAAGTTCCAGCGTTTTTGATAAATTCTATTCACTTTTACTATTTTAAATGGAAATAAATTCGCAGAGCAAACGTTGGCGCGGCCACCCACGTTATAACTATTAAGTTATACTTTAACGTTAACTATTACTATAATATATAAGTCTCCTCTGAATCAATAAAGAGTGAGTTATTAAACTGCATCAGTGAGTCTTAATTTATTGCTTTGTCCAAACATTACACTATGTTCAGCAGGCGATTTGAAAAGGGCTGTAATGATGGTGATGAGGTTTGACCATGAAAATAGTTAACAGGGTTGTATTATACCCAGACTGATACCTAGATAGAAAAAAAGAGGGCCGTACTATCTACAAAGGTGCCTAGCCTTGTAATTTTAGAATCAAATTGTATTTTTTTTATATAGGATCGGGTGACAAACGAGCACACAGTCCACCTTATGGTAAGTTATTACTGTAACCCATAGACATCTACATCTATCCTCAATAAAGACTCAAGGTGCAGATGCGTTGTCACCCGTGAGGACAAAGATGAAATGCCTCTTTGCCAGTAAAAAGGGTGTATATTAATATCTGGCTGTAAGTTATGAGGGTTTGCCTGTATAATTTTCTAAGGTAACACCTGATGCCGCCATTATATATGCGGACAGTCGTGTCGTTCACTTACTGTGCAATGTGCTTTAGGTATCAATTTTTTTTAATCTTATTGTTCAGTAAAATCTTGTTTATTCTCCAAACTAGCTGATACTCGCGACTTCGTCCGCGTTGTTTGATATATTAACAAAGTTTTCGTATGTACGAAGGAAAAAACATCAAAAAGAGAAAATTTCTTTGTAAACAATGTTATTCGCTTGTAGCTAAAATATATAAATTATATGGGTTAGTAATGCAAGCGCAAGCGACGTACATCTGACCGTGTGAAAAACCCCGTATAAAAATCGTTGTTTCTTAAAACTTTAATAGCTATATCTTAATTAAAGATATTGTGATATTTTTTTTTAGATTAAAGCCAAGTGTCTACGAAATAAAACTTAGACAACCTAATTTAAATCTATCCAGTAGTTTTTCCGTTACGCACATAACTACAAACCTCTATCATTTTATTTATATAGTATTCGATTGGTAATATCAATCAATATTATCCAACACTCACCTGTACTGTACAAAGATCGTCCGAGGACTCATCGCTGGTTGTTCCGATGAAATCGAACGTGAGACAACTGTGAGCGAGTCTGAGCAGTCCGGCCAACAAAGTCTGCTGTTCGCTATCTGCCATGTCTAATGTCTTGCCCCGAGCTGCACTTAGTAATGAGCACGCCAGACGGAACATCTCAAACAGCTGTGTGTCTCTGAAAATTTAATCAATAACATATACAAACAATACGCAATGAACACACAGAATAGAGTAAAATAGAATAGGTTTTTTTAATACTAGCTGTTCCCCACGACTTTCCCGCGTGGAATTTATTGCGATTGGATTTCATGGGTTAGAATTTTCTTGGTCAGAACCCTAATTCTTTTCAGCTATCTGCCAGTGAAAGTCCCGCTCAAATCGGTTCAAAAGTTTTTGCGTGATGCATGTTCAGACAGACGTCGTGTTAGTTTTATTATAGTATAGTATAGAAAGATATATAGATACATTTTTATTTAATATAGATTATTATTTAATACTTGTTGAATCAATTTTTTATGTATCACTGGTTCGGAAAATACCTCTGTCCTGGGATAAATTAGTAAGAAACCCAGTGGGATTTATACGAATTATAATAGAACCAGCATAGCAACGTGGTAGAGCCATACTGCAGCTATACTATAGTTGTAGCACGAATGGGTCTGCTCGACAGGGGTAGGAACACGCTCTCACAGAATACCAGCGTAAAATAGTAGCTCATTATTGCTGCTGTTTCGTTGATGAGAGTAGAGAAATGGAAACGAAGCTATTCCATCATAGTCCTCAGGGGTGATCGCGCATCTGCATTTTGATTCTTAATCAATGATAAATGTAGATGTCTATGGGCCACAGCATCCATTTACCATCAGATGGACTGTGTGCTTGTTTGTAACCCTTATATAAAAAAGCATTTAATTTTATTTTATTATAATTATGTGCATAAAAATGTATTATATTGTTTTATTAATTTTCTTATAACAAATATATATATATATACATCGTTTCAAAAGTCCACTGCTGAACATAGACCTCCCCCATAGACTGACTCATATGGGGGATATTTGCCATAGTTGTCAACATGAGGGAGCCATATTATTGGTTCTACAACAGCATTCAGAACCACAATTATAGGCTGATATTACCACGAAGCAATTACAAAGAGGAGATGGCATAAGCAACTATGCACTGTGATTCTAACTAGGCCCTTACGTCATCACAGTGGGCGTGGCTTTACTTAGTATACTGTCGGCGTTAGTCCTGTACGCTTATGTGTCGAAAATCGCAAATCGGTGTATTTTCGTAGTATTAAGAAGAAAAGGATGAAGTGTTGTGTTTCATCGTGTAAAAACCACTCAATGGGACGCTTTGATGCTATGAACAGCATCACATTTCATTTGTAAGTAATTTTATACCTAATTTTTTAAAAAGGTTCTAGAAAAATCTATGCGTCGGCTTTCAAATGTAATTAAATATATTCGATACGAGATGGTGACACTTTGTGTCATGGGAACTAAAAATATAAAGTTACGTAGAGCTCAATATTGGTAAAATAATCATACGAAGATGTTGAAATTTGTTTTGCATTCAGTCCTAAAGAATTTTTGTTTGCCAAAATACTATTTTTATAGTTTTTATAAACATTTTGTGAACAGGCCGCCATCTATCGTCGAGGTAGCTAAACTACATTGCAACATTGATATGGAACGATGCGAGTAGTTTTACTATTTATTGGTAGATGGAAAATAGTAAAGTGGGCGGGGCTTAACATCCCCTTACCCGCAAATTGTCACGCGCTGTTACATAGTAAAATCTATTTACAACACCTCCTCTTTGTATTTGCTCTATGGATATTACACTTAGAAAGTTAAAGTTACAGGTAATACACGTCCCACGGCTGGGCACCTCTCCCTTCTGAGAGGGTTTTAGGACAAGGAAATGTTGACGTGTTCGAAAAAGCTTTTTCTTATTTCTCAGACATCCAGGTTTCCTCGCAATGTTTTCCTTCACCGCCGAGCACATGTTAAATCAGCACTTAAAGTTGCAATACACAATTTCATTGTTGCCGTCGGGTATCGAACCTGGGTTGCTCGGATACTGTAAAATTTACAGCGGGCAGCGCTTAACCCCCGAGCTACCACGGCTTTCAGTTACAATAGAAATTATGAGACTTTAATTATAATAGTACACAATTATATATAGATATCTCACCTAAATGACGAAGCAATCTTCCTGTGCTTGGAGAGCGATCGACTGGCATCTGCCTCGGAGACCTGATTCATCTCCAGCACCAGTTGCGACAGCAGTTGCACACCGATAGCGCACATCTCTGCCGGACCCTGTTATTCATCAATACACCACTATTTTGTAGGTACCAAAAAAACAAGGACAGTTGCAGCAGATGCTACTATTGATAATGGCACTGTCAAACGTTTTTTTTATTACTTATCTATCATAATGTTATAGAGGTTTGTTTTTATCCAAAAACTGGCTTAATTTTATTGCCACAGGCACTAGCAATACTACACAAGGCATTAACTTACACACTCCATTCATAACACGCTCTCTACCTAAAGTCACTACTCCTTTCTCTCGCTTACTTCAACGGCTCACGAAACAAATGTCGGCCGGCGCGTGAGCGAGACAGCAAGCGATTTATGAATGAATCGAATTGGAGTCAATCCGCTCCTATTATACGTACCTACTAGGCTTGCGCAAAAAATATCGATATAATATATTTTCACATATAAATATCGATATATATCGTCGATAATTTCGATATTTATTTTAGAGTATCGAATTCGTATCAATTTCGATATATTTTAAAAGGTACAAAACATGACACAATAGAAGGACCTGCAAAAGCATTTATGTGTGGTTGTCGTTTTTATTTCGTCGTCCAGCCGTCAGTAATATAAAATTTTGGTCCGTGTCCTTACATCATGCAAATGATGTCGATATATCGATATATTGATATTTATCACGCGATATATAACAATAATAATCTTTATTTGCAAGAATATGGTTGTACAATGGTGTTTGAGTATAATTCGTTTTACATATTCTACCTTAGTGGTGTGCAAATAATAATGGTTAAGTAACCTAAACAACAATACTTATCGAATTTAACAAACAAATTATTTAATATTATTCAGTTGATTTGATAATTAATTAATTATGCTACAGTGTCAGAAAAATGCCAACAAGATATATAAGTAAGTAATATTAAATCAAGTAAGATTATTATTATAGTTGAATGTCAATTTTCGAATTGTCATTAGTTTATTTTTACCGATACTGTTTGAAAATGTCGATATATTTTTTCCCTTACCCATCCCTAGTACCTACTATAATAAATCAGTAACTAATTATTATCGTTTATTCAGATATTTTTTAAATGTTTTTGGTAATTACAAAATATGGGTGTATATCGTTATAATACCGTTACCGTTACAGCCTATTGAAGTCTACTGCTGAACATAGGCCACCCCCATAGATTGACTCAAAGGGGGCATATTTGCCATAGTGGCCGTTGACGGCGCCGTGGCGCAATGGCTTAGCAATGAGATGCCGCACTAATGGCTGCAGATTCCAATCCCACACGGAACATGTGCTTGTATAGTCTACTGAATGTTTGTCCCTGTGAAATGTATGTTTGTATACTGCTCCCACCCCCTACCCCCCCCCCCCCCCCCGGATACAGGAGAAAATCCTAGTGTGGTGGTAACATATCTTAAATAGAATAATTTAAAATTAAAAATTTTGTACAGCCGACTTCAATATAAGTTATTAAGAATAACTCAAAAACTATTGGTCTGACCTTGATCAAATTCATATGGGACCACACGAGAAGTATCAGCTTTCAAATAAAAAAAAAAGAATCATCGAAATCGGTTCATTCAATAAAAAGTTATGAGGTAACACACATAAAAAAAACATACAGTTGAATTGAGTACCATCTCCTTTTTGGAAGTCGGCAGAAAAAGTTGCCAATCTTGGAAAGCGGGTTAGTAAGTTTTTAATTTTTAACCACTAATAGGAAGACGCTGCTGCCCATCTCCTAGTTTGTATTCATTTGTCGCCTCTTACGACACCCACGGAATGATATGGGCTAGTGGATATTCTTACACCGCCACTACACGGTGGTTATATGTTTTATTTTACGGGCTTCATAAGATTAATTACCTGTAAGAAGCTGGAGATGTCGTTCATGACGTTGTGGAAAACATATTCCCCCTTGACCATGTCGAACCAGCCCAGTTTGGTGATCCGTGCGAATAGCGACACCAACGACTGTGAACAAAAAATAAAACATTTTTATTAAAACAAAAAAAAATGATTTTTTTAGGATGAGGGTGACAAACGAGCACGTCACGAGTATGTCAAAATGGAAAATTGGAGCCATTATAACCACACAAACGTCCCGGCGCCGCTCGTAGCGATTTTTATACGGTCCGATCGCGACCAGTTCCACTAAAACCGTCACCACGGAGAAAGTTCTTTACCTATATCAGAATAAAAATCACCCACAGAAAGGTAATGAAATGCAAAGTTTAATTACGTTAGTAATAATATTTTATTAATATAAATAATATATAATACAAAACCTTAACGAAAAACCGACACAAAGACGAAGTTTTCGCATGTCAACTTCATTACGTATAAAAACATAATTACAGACTTTGAATTCATCAAACTTGTAGATATACGAAAAGAAAGCATCTTGAGGATTATTTTCATATATAATACTAGTACAAAAATATAATAAACACATTATTACTTACATTTTAAACGCAGTACTCACAGTACTACCGACAAAACTTGAAACAACACTTGTTTTTTTTTTTGTTTTTTCAATGGTAACTGTTACCTGTCATAGACTTTTTACTAAGCCATAGACACATTTTTTAATATAGAGCCGTCTAGTGTAACATTCATGAAGATTTTTGTAACTTTCCATATATAAAAATTAGTTTAAAGTGTAGAAGTCAACGAGGCCGCTCTAGTCGCCCTAACGTTCAACCGGAAAAAGTTTTAGGCGACTACGGTCGCCCGGACGTTTGAGTGGATGATAATTTTTAATTACGTGGTAGAGCCATACTGCTGCAGCAAGGTATATTATGGTTGAAGCATAAATAGATCAGATTGACTGGAGTAGAATCAAAGTTACACAATGCCGGAGTGAAATAGCAGCTATATGGTGCTAAGTTTAGTTGGAAACGAGGCATTCCATCTTAATCCTCGGAGGTGATCGCGCATCTGCATTTTGGTTCTTAATCGAGGATAGATGTAGATGATGTCTATGGACCACAGCATCCACTTACCATCAGGTAAACTGTGTGGTCGTTTGTCACCCTTATAAAAACTTATTCCATAAAAAATATAAGACTACTACTCCACGCTTATATTTGTTGTATAACCCGCGACTACTAACTACTGTACATACTGTTTATACGCGGTAGAGCCATGCTACAGCTATATCAATAGTACAGTTGTAGCACGAATGGGTCGGCTCGACTGGGGAAGGACCAGGCTCTCACAGAATACCAGCGTAAAATAGCAGCTTCACGCTGCTGTGTTTCGTATGGTGAGTGTAGAGAACCGGAGACACTTTTTACTGGAAAAGAGGCATTCCATTGCATTTTGATTCGCAAACGAGGATAGATGTAGATGTCTAAGGGCCACAGCAACCACTTACCATCAGGTGGACTGTGTGCTCGCTTGTAATCGTTATCCTATAAAAAAAACATACGTTATCATTACAGCCTATTCAAGTTCACTTCTGAACACAGGTCTCCACCACAGATTGTCTCATTGGGGGGATATTTGCCATAGATGCCACGCTTGGCAACCTCAGTTTATTTTTTATTTTTAGTCGTTATTATGAAGACACTGCTGCCCATCTCTTGATTTGTTTCCCTCTGTCTCTGTCTGTGGGCCAGTGGATATTTTTACAATGCCACTACACGGAAACTGTATACGCCTAATTATTTTGTAAATTTAATTCAATTTTCCAATAAATCACTTTTATTCGCCTATTACGTATTTTTCTTGTTCTATCAAGTGCAATGGGATACATGCCTGCACGACGAAACTGGCCAGTTTCGGCCGAGTCGCGAGATAGTTGAGGACATAGTTTCTGATGTCTAAGCGCTGCTGCACCGATAGACTTGTAGTCGATCTGAAAAAGAGAAAGTAAATAAATATCAATCTAATATATAAAAATTTATTTCTGTTTGTTCGTATTTTATGTATCGATATTATAACAAGGTCCCGGAAAGTGTACAGACTCTCTCTATTACCAAGTTTAAATGTTTTATTAAGCTGAAACTGTATAAAAAGGGTTATTATAGTATAAATGAATACACGGTTGATAATAACATCTGGGAATGAGGTGGTTGCTTCCAAGCAGTTTTTAAAATAAATTTTGTAAATAGTTTCTACAAGCATTAATGTAAAATTTACTTTTTAAAAAAAAGTCCCGCTCGGTTTTTTTGCTGGTTCTTCCCAGACAAGAGGGTTTTTTTCCAACGAGTGGTAAAGTAAAAAATAACTTTAAATAAGAATTACACATGCGATCTACATTGAATAAAAGATTATTCTATTCTATTCTATGCGCTGCCATACCATTCATCAGATTGCACTAAAACATTGACAATTTATTGCTGGCCCTTGCGCGAAGGTTATAGGCATAAATATTTTTTTTAGTACACTCATAATGTTTTACTCAACTTCATTGAATGTTATTATGTTATTTAGAATCTTAGAAATCTTAGGATTTTTGATTTAAAAAATATGACAAGTAGTTTTGACAGTCCTCTCAATTATAAACCAAAGAATTCTAAAGAGTCCGAAACAGGTAAAAATCTAAGGATGCAAGGTCAGGACTATATGGTGGATGCATTAACACTTCCCAACCAAGCTCTCTCAATTTTTGCTGAGTAGCCAAAAAAGTGAGTGGTCGAGCGTTGTCATGATGAAAGACCACTGCTTCTCTGTTGATCAATTCCTGCCGTTTTTTCTCAATTCCTTGCTCGAGTCTCATTAGTTGTTGACAGTAGAGATCAGAATCGATGGTTTTGCCCGGCGGTAAAAGCTCATAATAAACGATGCCCTTTCAATCCCATCATACACACAACATCACTTTACTGCATGTTAATCCAGGTTTCGCTACAGTCTGTGAAGCTTGACTACCCTTTGACCATGATCTTTTTCGCACAGTTATAACTCTTTTTACAACGCAGTTAAATCTTAATAAGCATTTATTTAATCCACAGTACTTTTCCTTCATATGACGTCAGTCAGTAATAGCATTGTTCTTTTCTATGTAAATCTTTATTCCATTTTAATAATAAGTTAGATTCAGAGCCCCCCGTAGATCGAGCATAGATTCCGAGACGTATTAGATTTCGGAATTCAGGGCCAATATTAATTGTGTGTGTGAACTTTTTATAATAAACCCTTAGGTTTATTTAGTGTTTTTTTTTAAGTCAAACGGGATCAGCCTCCTAACAGCACTTTCTTGTCGTAGGTGATCCCCTTTCATCACCTGTGACAAATCTTTTCAAAAAATGGTTACGTTTCACAGGTACGTACTAAAGTAATGACGTTACAATAGAGAATCGTAAATAAGTACATGATTCATTAGGTTTCTTTCATTGAGCTCGTGTGGTACCCAAATATCGAGCTTTTTTGTACAGCCAGACTTTTTCAAAAGGGTCAAAACTGTTTTGTAGTCAATCCTCAATTCCTCAGCTATGTTGTAACTACTAATATGCCGATCTTGCTCCACTTTTTCATAAATGGCATCGACTTTATCCGCTGGAGAGCGACCAGAGCGAGCTGCATCTTTGTCATTACTCTACGTGGTAGAGCCATGCTGCAGCTATATTATGGTTGTAGCACGAATGGGTCGGCTCGACCGGGGAAGGACCACGCTCTCACAGAAAACCAGCGTAAAATAGCAGCTCAACACTGCTGTGTTTTGTATGGTGAGTGTAGAGAACCGGAGACCCTTTTTACTGGCAAAGAGGCATTCCATCTTAGTCCTCACGGGTGACAACGCATCTGCATCTTGAGTCTTTATTGAGGATAGATGTAGATGTCTATGGGCCACAGCAACCACTTACCATCAGGTGGACTGTGTGATCGTTTGTCACCCGATCCTATAAAAAAAAAACATCAAAATTCCCGGACTGTAAACGCTCAAACCAACTTTGTGCTACTTTTACTGACACTTCATTAGGTCCATAAACGTCACAAATTTTTTTGCGGCTTGAGTCGCAATAATCCCTTTTTTATATTAAAACTTCAGAATTTATCGAATTTCAGACTGAAAAAAGTAGAAAAGTGTTTTTTACTTTTTTTTGTTAATGTCCTATATATATTTATATTAAAACCAGCCAGATACAAACAGTACAACCAAAGCGATTTTTCGTCAATTTTATACAAACAAATTCCTTTTTCCCCTAACCTATTATTATGAAAAAATATAGAAACAACATGGTAGAGATCACCTCATTCCCAGGGTTTATTATCAATTATGTACTCTTTATTGTATAATAACCTTTACTAGACAATTTTTTTTTGTAAAATTTTTAAGTCTTTTAATAAAAAACGCCTGCATATCTAAGCACCTGCTTATACATTGGCCCTGCATATACATTGCCCCATGAAGGAATTACTGACTTTTTGCAGTCGAGTAACTGGTATAACTAATTTGTGCATGTTCCTAATATTTACAGAATGTACATTACTATTTTTAACTATTTTTGTGTACATTTTTGTTTTATTTATTACATAATAATATTTATTATCATATAAAGGTACCATAGATAACCTGCATAGCTAACTTTTATCTTTTAATTATTAATTTTAGTCATATGTTTGTCGAATGGCCTAACCTAACTGTATCATGAATTCTTGTATTAACACAGGGCTATTTTGCAATAACTGGCCAAATTTGCAGGGAAGGTTCAGAATAAGTAATATAGACAAATTGTGAAGAAAAACTAATTAAAGAAAACTCAAATATTGTCCTTTTTATCTTTGAAATTCAAAATGTGTGGTAATGCATTATTTTAACTGTATTTACTGCGTAAACACACATTCGTGAGGCTCGATCGGTAGGCAAAAACGTTGTCGCCCATAAATCATATTCAATTTGGGATAATTTCAAATAAAAGTAGAAGCCTTATTTTCTCGTATTTTCAAAAAGTGCAATAACTGTATATCATTATCTTCTTGATAATATTATGATGTGTTTTGTTTGTGAAATTTACGTGTGTGATTGGAGAAACAAATAAATACTTTATCTATCTATCTATCATAAATAGAATCTATGGACGAGAGTATTTCTGTACCTAGCATTTGGATTATTAAAGTTCAGAAAATCTAATAAAATACAAAACAAGAAAGTATCCTACACGGCGCATGCATTTTTTATTTTCAAAAGCCTTCAAAATAATTTAAAAATTAAAAATTTGTACAACCGATTTCAATATAAATTATTAAGAATAACTCAAAAACTATTGGTCAGACCTTGATCATATTTATATGGGACCACATGAGAAGCACCAGCTTTCAAATAAAAAAGGAATCATGGAAATCGGTTAACCCAGTAAAAAAGTTATGAGGTAACACACATAAATAAAAGAACATACAGTCGAATTGAGTACCGTCTCCTTTTTGAAGTCGGTATCGGTAGAAATAGGAGATTCTCAATTTCGACTGTATTTTTTTTTGTGTGTTACCTCAGAACTTTTTCCTATGTGAACCGATTTCGATGATTCTTTTTTATTTGAAAGCTGGTGCTTATCATGTGTTCTCATATGAATTTGATCAAGATCTGACCCTGTAGTTTTTGAGTTATCTTTAATAATTCATATTTAATTGACTTCAACTTTTATAGGTGAATCAGTCTATGCACACACTGAGCAGTATTGGACGATATTGTAACCCCCCTGCCCCACGCTAATATGTATTATTCCATATTTATGAATTAAATTGAGTCATACTGACAATATGTCGGTTTAGTGCCAAAAAAGAAAATCACAAAGTCTATATTTACACTGTAGAAAGTTCAGAGTGACTTCAGAATCAAACTAAGCTTACAGCCAACTGAAAAAGAAAGGACCTCTGCCAGGTCTGGTCAGGTACTTGTAAAGTACAAACAGTAGTTACCTGCTAATTAGTTTAGCGAGAGTTGTGGCCGCCAAGAGCTGCGAGTAACTGGAATCGGCACGTTCCAACAGAGCTTGGCATTTGCTGAGGGTGTCTGGAGATTCCTGGGTGAGCATAAATTAGTTTCAAATAAGTTTAAATTTTGTTTTTATAATTTGGAGGTATAAATGGTTTCAACTGTATCATGGAGATGTTTTACATAAATAAATTGCACAAGGATTAACATACAACAACCGTGCTTTTGTTGCAGGGAGGCCTATGTTCAGCAATGCATTTGTGATGGGCTGCGATGGTGATAATTTTTTTCATTATTTATTTATAAGGGTCACCGACAGATAATACACAAAAACTAAAAACAAGATACAAGCATTATGAGAAATATGTAATAAGCTCACCCAATTATAGGCAAGCACGGCTAACAAAGAGTAATGTTGCAAAAAGTTAAAAAAGGGTTATTATAATATCAAGGAATACATGAATGAAAATAACCCCTGGGAATAAGGTGATCGCCACCATGCTGGTTCTATGAAAAATCATTTAAAAATTGTATAAACGAAATTATTGTTAAGTGAAATATGTTTGAAAAAAGAAGTCCCGCTGGGTTTCTTGCTGGTTCTTCCCAGGACTGGGTTGTTTTCCGAACCAGTGGTAAATAAATGACTTTCAATAAGTATTATGTAATAATCAATATTGAATAAAAAATTATTCTATTCTATTCTATTCTGTTAAATGATGTAAAATTTTGTTGTACATTAGAAAAATTGCGTATTGAGAAATTAAAAAGATAAATAATTATGAGACATACAGTTTTATGAAGCCAATTTAAAAAAAGAATCCAATAAAAGTCCACTACTGAACACCGGCCTCCCCCATAGGTAGCCTCGTAAGGGGGATTTCACCATAGTCGGCACGCTTGGTAGGCGTGTTGGTAACCACAGATTTTTATAATCTTGACTTGTTGTCAAGAAGATACTTCTGCTTATCTCTTATTTCAGTTGCCTTTTTTTATAGGATAAGGGTGACAAGCGAGCACACAGTCCACCTGATGGTAAGTGGTTGCTGTGGCCCATAGACATCTATATCTATCTTTGTTTGCGAATTAAAATGAAGATGCATTTTAACCCGTGAGGACTAAGATAGAATGCCTCTTTTTCATGAAAAAGGGTCTCCAGTTCTCTAAACTCACCATACGAAACACAGCAGCATTAAGCTGCTATTTTACGCTGGTATTCTGTGAGAGCGTGGTCCTTCCCCGGTGGAGCTGACCTATTCGTGTTACAACTATACTACTAATATAGCTGCCGCATGGGTCTACCACGTATAAATCTATCTATCACCTTTCACGCCACTACAAAGACAATATGGGTAGTGGATATTCTTTCACCATCTCTATACAGTTACATAAAAATAGATTAAACAAGTGTAAATTATACATAGTGCAGTGTTTGCAAAAACCGCAGTAATTGTCTTGACCTATATAAGTTTCCAAAATATGTAAGGATAAATAATAAGGTAGTCTAATAAACCCTTATAATCGAAATTTGAAGGCTCTGTGACTCAGTGGCAAGGAAATGCAGTGCTAAGGGCCACGGGTTCGAATCCCGCATGGAACAAGTATTTGTAAGCCATACAAATAATTTTTCCAGGTCTGGATGTTTATCCTTAAGAAATTTCTATATGATACAGGATACAGGAGAAAATCCTAGTGTGGAAGTAACGTCTTTTTAAAAAAAAAAATTAAACTGCATAATTTATGCCCATTATTGGGTTATAACATTTAAAATTTTAGGGAAAATCCTATGAGAGATGGATAAACGCCAAAGTTGTTCCATTCCAGTTGTTTTTAACTTTGTTAAAATCACATTCATATACTACTAAATATAATAAATATACTAAAACCTTAAACCTAACCTAAATCTCAGATCTTCTTTCCTCACGGGCATATTTAGTAGTAGTGGTGAACTGTATATCACTATATCTCTCCTCTAGAGTATGAGATGAAGTGCAATACATACAAACTCTCCTCATACGACTTGCAATATAATGTTTGGGGTATCTTCATGCTTTTCTTTTGCAGCTTTGATCTAGGGTCAGCTCACAGAGGTCAGCTTGCAATTGCATGTGTGAAATGAACCTTGCCATTAAGTTCAAAATGTAATAAAAAATATTAAGTTTTATGTGATAGAGCCACTCTGCTGCTATGCTCGCTATGCATAGCTGCAGCACAAATGTGTCAGCTCTCACAGAATACCAGCATGATATAGCAGAATAATGCTGCTGTTTCGTATGGTGAGTGTAGAGAACTGGAAACCCCATTTACTGGTAACAAGGCACCCATCTTAGTCGTCAGGTGAGACAACACATCTGCTTTTTTTCTTAATCAATTATCGACGTAGATGTTTATGAACCATAGAACCCACTTACCATCAGGTAGACTATGTGTTTAATCATCACCTTTATTCCATTAAAAAAGCCTATATGTCCTATTACTGCAGGGCACAGGTCTCCAATTTCTGAGAGGGAAATTTAATAATTTTTAAAATACACACCTGAAAGCCGACAACTGCCTTCTCAGCCTGCTCTCTGATGATGGGATCCTGGGACTCGTACAGCTGTTTGCACAGCAGCTCTATCTGACACACCTCCTAAAATTTTATTCATATATTATTAACTTTAACTTTGTTTTAGTTATTATCCTTCTAACATTCAACACTCTTCTCTCTTCTTCTTCATCTTAGCCAACCATGGACCTTTTTATATTAGTGTTACATCAAATTTGTGTGGTTTTGTATAAATCATTGCCTTGGTTATAGCACATTTAATTGCTGCAATAAGTTCCAAATACTTTTTCACTGCTGGCCGTATGAGGAAGCTCATGCCATGATGTATGATATAGGTAGGACTATACAACTCCACAACTAAGCACATATGGCTGTCCTAGCTCCTCGAGGAATCTTAATAACTAATTAATGTTGCTAAAGTTCTCAGGGAGTCATACCAGCAAGGTACTTAACTTTGATGCTGGCAACTGCAGTGCACGCAAGAAGGATGTGAGCTGCCATTTCTACTGCACTGTACGGATATGAAGAATTAATAGAATCAGGCGTTACTTTGCGGAAATCCATTATATAAAAGCTTATACAAAAATTTACTTTGCAAATATCCACGTTATAAAATAAAATGATGTATCTTACCTAGTATGAAGAAGCACCTCCCGCCCTCCCTCAATTGCGTGCACTATCCCCGTCACCACTAATCCCAGCACCGCTACTCCCAACAACACTACACTAGGCAAGACACACCACTGACGATAATAAGATACGTGTTTCGCCTATAGACTCTACGGTGGCTAACCGCTAAGCGGTTAGCCAACGTAGAGTCTATATCACCTGAGGATGCCTCGTGTAGAGGCGAAACACGTGTCGTATTATCGTCAGTGGTGTGTCTTGCCTAGTGTAGTGGTGTTGGGAGTAGCAGTGCTGGGAGGTGCTTCTTCATACTAGGTAAGATACATCATTTTATTTTATAATGCGGATATTTGCGAAGTAAATTTTTGTAAAAGCTTTTTTTGGATATGAAGAAGCTGTAGTTTTGTCACTATATCATCAAATATCCACTACTTAACGAAGGTCTCCCCATTATAAATTGCCTTATATTATTCTCTACTGTTGCCACACTCAACAGGCAGTTTTGTATTATTTTGAGCTGTCATCATTTTGTGTTATTTTACTGAAGAAATTGAAAAAGGATGCACACAGTGTGGACATTTTATGAATTTCCCTCTATAGCTTATGACACTAATGGATACTATAGGGTGATTCACAAAATAACAGCTTGAAATTGCGGCATATGATAGTGCTGCTGTAATACATATAGTGAATGACAAGAACTGGATATCCTTTTTACTAGTAATGAGGTTTTCCGTCTTAGTACTAAAGTATTAAGGTGCATGTACAATATACACCACCCTCTCCGCTTATCCATCACTAGCACATATTGTATTTAATTATGACCGGTTATAAAACTAGGGCAACTGTTGTTTATATACATATGAAAACTATGCCGAATAATTTATTGATTTATTATTGTTACCAGTTTATTTGCTTTGTAACTTTAAACTGTATCAGAATATAATCTACACACTTAAAATTTGTTACATAGCTATACTTATCACAGAGAAACAGGGAAAGTACAGCTGCGGCGTAATATATGACAAAAATACATCGGATATTTGGTGAACGATTTCAAGGCTAACTCTGTGTCAACATTGTTGTGAAATATAACCAAAAAGCCGGTATGTTTATAAATCTTTATCTCATTAATAGGTTTATTATCCAGAAAAGGTGTAATTTAACACAATTTGAGGGCAAAATAGTACTAAAAAAACTTTATCTAGGGGCTTCAATACGGGGTACAACGTACCGAAATTGTAATGTTAAGAAAATTTGGAAGTTATAGAAGTATGAACTTTCACATTATGCGACACTGTCTTTTAAACTATAAAACACACTTTTCAATATAAATTTATGCATAATTAAGTTAAAATCTAACAAATAACCCAATATTTTGATACTCACCTGTTCTTCAGCCATCTTTGTTATTTTCTCGCATTTGGAATGACGTTTCGTTCTAAAGTGTAAATGCTCTAAAATGAAAATATCTGAATAAAACTTATTAATTACAAATAAAAATTCAAATACGTTTATTTTAATAGATGGTAAAAATGTTTATGTCAATTCAGTAATAAAATTAAACAAAGCCTGAAAGAAGTAAAAATATTCAAAAAATTTTAGAGAAATATTGCAAAAGCATACATCAGATCATACATCATCATGGATCAGATGATACATCATCTGTGGATCTGTGCATAAGAAGTTGGGATCTGTGACTCTAAAGCTCGCTTTTCACTATGGGATAGAAAATATCGCTCAGTCGATCGGAAAAATATTTATAGTTTGAGATGTAATATATATTATAGCTCAATAGTCAACGGTTCCATTTCAAAGTATGGTGAGCGATATTAATTTATATCTCGAGCTGTAATATATATTATACTAGCTGACCAGGCAGACGTTGTTCTGCCCTTTCCGACGACCATGATGTGTCCTATAAAAAAATCATTAAATTCACAATAAAATATGGGTTACTTATCGGGATAAAAACTATCCTATCTCTCAAGTTGGACCAAACTGCACACAGTGTGCAAAATTTCATTGAAATCAGTTCAGTAATTTAGGAGTCCATCGCGGACAAACAAGGTGACACGTAATTTTTAAATATAAATATTATATCCCATAGTGAAAGGCGGGCTTTAGATATCTGATTATTGTGTGGCGAAGCTTGCGAAGTCACTTATTGATTTCAAGATGTCTGTCCGTCTGTCCGTCTGTCCCACGATTATCTCGAGAACGGTAAATTTTGCTTAAAATGGTTGAACTGCCGTCTTATTACTATCATATGGCCGAATAGACCTATGAAGTACCATGTGCTCTTGTGATATGGTATAAGGTTTATTTTTGTTTGAAACAGTTCGAAACCGTTCATGTATAAAAAAAAGTTCGCTAATAAATAGTCTTTTATCAATCCGCCGCCGTATAGCGCCGGCGTTTTTTTTCCTTTTGAAAACACTTGTTTTGCTATTCTTATTAATTAGACGTTTTCAGATCGACTTTACTTTTATATTTGTATAACATTAAATAATATTTAACATTTTTAAATATCAATGAATGATATACCTTATTTTTTTCTTCAAATTAAGGTTCTTCATTGTTTGATATTTACAAATGTTATTATTAGGTGAAAATTTAATTTAATAAAAACCAAGGTTTCCAGGGTGATTTAGCTGTACCTACTTATATAAATGATTTTTTATAACAACAAAAAATAGTACAAAAGGTTTGTAATCTCTTCATAAAAAAGTCACTTTCTCTCAATTTCAAAAAAAAAACGCGTACAAAAACACGTATTTACCCACTAAAAACAAGTATCCTTCCATTTGTAACTTATGTTTGATGTCAAATAAACTTAATTAGGTGTAAACAAGTAAAAAAAGCATAAAAAAGAACATTACTTTTACACATTGTGGATGGCACAATAGGCGTGTCATCAATGTCTATGGTGTCATGTCATATATGTGAAATATTTGTTAGCCGCCACAGCTAAAAGTTGTCGAAAATTGGTGTCGCAACGAATCGGTTAACGTCTTCGTGATAGAATTCTTCATATCATTGCATATTTTGGTCAACTCGTCTGAATCGATTGTTATTAATTGATAAAGAAAACTAAAATGTTTTTCAATTGCTTTGGTGCCGAACTATTTTTTAAATGTGCATATATCGATTATAGGAATAAACGTACAGTCTCTGAAAATCCTTCAAAAAAAGTGACGCGCGTGCTGCGAATTCTTTTTCGTTCAGACTTATTTTTATAGTTTTGGTATTCGTCATTTTGGCGCTGATAGCAGTAGTGAGCGTCCACGGAACTATTAATAGAGATAGATTAGTGTTACAAAATATATCGATAAAAATTCTATACACAGGCCTACCATTTTATTTATGTATAATTTTAATATGATGCCATACAATAAATAAATGTATCAATTAATACTTATGCCTTAGACACAATTTTAATACCTCATATAAAACAAAAATCGATGATGCATTAGTTATCTACGTTTTTCTTTGTAACTATAGAAGGAGTTTGGTTGCGGGTTTCCCCATATGGTGTGTATAGTTCATTCGATAGTTTTAAAAGTAGGAAAAATTGATAGATTCTGCTGAAAACTGTTATCTTTTGTTAGCGACTTTCATTGTTGTTAACAGATATAGGAAGGAAAAACATCGAAAAAACATCGATAAACATCATCATATTAGTCTGTGATAAGTATTATCGACAAGGAACTCGTTATTGATTATAATTGTTTATCAAAAATAAGTAATTTAAAGCCAAACATGTTAGTAATTACATTAATAAGACAAGGTGTCACTTTCACACTTCCCTCCTGGTGACGAATTTCACATTATCATTGTTGCTAAAAATACTTTTTACGATATTATTAAAATGAAACATAACCGAAACTACACAACACACACTGTTTTTCGTTTAAAACTTTAATTCGTTTTGAGCAAAACAACATTTGCCAATTATGACAAATATAGTTCCCGGTACACTCAATGGCGGCGCTTCAAATTGGCACAAACGTTTTGTAGGGTATAGCCTGTCGAGAGTACCTACTAGTATATATGGATTTCATTGATTTCTGGCTCTTCTTCTATTACTGGCAACCAATAAAAGGTCAACTTTATTTACAAAAATAATAAAATTTGAGAAATCAAAAGTCATTAGGTATATAACCTAGATTAAATTTCATATCGAAAAATCAAAACAAAACATGTAGCTGTTTTCAGTTTTTAGTTGATTGACTATTAATAAATTCTTGTGTAAATACTTTGCAACAAATTAATAAATAACAGAGTTATGTGATAAAGCCGTTAATTATGGCTCCAAGAATACTCCACGGGAATATGCGACCAGTGCTCTTGAAACTGGAGAAATGTTAGTAATTTTTCATGTTCACTTGTCTTTTATTTCATGTTAGTAACATCGTCTTTTTAAAATGAAGTGAGGATGGTGAGGAGAGTGTTCACTACTGGCATGTCTTTATACTGTGAAGTATTTTTATACTGTTACATGTGGGGTGAGTTCACACACGCATCACTAACACCATCATTATAGCTTATCACAAGTCCACTGCTGAAAATAGGCCTTCTCAAGGAACTCCACAAAGCACGGTTTTGAGATACCTGCATCCATCCTCTCCCTGCATATTTTACCAGGTCCACACTCTATGTAGTGGGGGGCCACCTTATATTTCGCTTGCTGGTACAAGGCTACTACTCGAGAACCTTCCTTCCTCATAGTTTGTCGGTTCTTCAAACTGTATGCCTGAACCATTTGCACTTCAGCTTACTAATCCGTTGGGTACACACCGAATGTATATGTACAATAATATCGTCCAGAATAGCTAAGCTGCGCGGACGTATCTAATACCTACGTGTCGTTAGGCTGGTCGGATGAGAAGAGTAGAGTTATCTAGGATTTTAGGCCAATTCGGTTCGTTCAAATATTCTCCTCTTATAATGCGATATTCCGAACAAATGTGAAGAGCAATATATCCAAAGGAGAAAAGGTTTATATTCGTAGACATAAGGTTGTATCTTGTTTGTATTAATATTTTCTCACGACCACACTTTTTATTAACTTGAATACCTTTATTATCCGGCTGTATAAACTTCCTTACCATTTTTTCATTCATTACAACCCTTTCCAAAGTCCACTGCTGAACGAAGGCCTCCCCCAAGGGATACCACAAAGCACGATCCTGAGCCACGACTTCCTGCATGTCTAACTAGGTCGTCACTCCATCTAGTGGTGGTTACCATATATCATTGTAATTTCTATTAGATTTTCGAGTTTCGGGAACATTCGCGTGCAAATGTGATGCAACACGCAAGTAACTGTCGTAACAATTTACACATACAGACTTCTCATCAGTGCAATTTTTTTAAATATTTGTAAAAAAACGGATCTGATTTAAAAAAAAACATCTATATTAGGCAATTCTATTTTCAAATAATACTGCTTGAAAATGATGCATTTCGTTTTTTTTTTATTATAGTGCCACTTGGTCAGTTACGAAACGCTCGTAAAACTACAATAAGCAGTTTCAATACTGGCAACACTAAAGATGCGAACTGTAAGAAATGTGAAAAGCTAATTGCGAAAGCATTTAACATTGATTATAAGCAATCAAAAGTGTATGCTACAACTGCTAAGCGTGATGTAGAAAAGCTGACTCAAAAATTAGAAACGATAGAAGAGCAACCATTAATAGAAGCTGAATCAAAAGTCGAAGGTTTTAATGTTTCGCCTAAAGTATTGGGAAATAAACATCGCACCTCACATCCTATTGATCACAATTTACAAAATATTTATGGCACCGATAAAAGGACGACTTTAGACGACATTGCTGTTAAGTTGATGAGCTTGCCAAGGGATGAAATCGATAGAAAATTAAAGGAAAAATTTGAGACATATGGAAATTTTCTAATGCAAAAAAATAGAAAGACAGATGAAATACATGACATGGATAGTAATAATAAGAAAATAGAAGAAGCAATGGATCGACCAGTTATGAGATGTAATGAAAGGCCAGTTATCAGTTATAATAGTGAGGCCGTAGAGAAAAAACAAAGTGAAATGCTCGTTGGCAAATCCATTGATGGAACTGAAGATATTTTAAGAAATAATGAATTTATATCTGATCGCGAAGACGAAGATAAACAGCTTTCTAAACAGTCATTTCCGTTTTATAGACAATACGAGATACATAAAGAAACCTCAACTGAAAACACTTATAGGGCGGAAAAACCGCGTTCGATTCATATTGACGTAGAATTTTTAACGTATATTGAGAAAAGTTCTTCGAGAGAGAGGATTCTAAAAAAATTAGAAGAACCTGGTAGCGGGAAATTGATTACGCCATATGAACTCACAATGATTCCTTTACCATCGAATGACACTGCGATCTCTAGTCAGGCAAGCAAAATACTTACCGAT